AACCATGTTATGTATGCCGATTATCTGGTAATTGCTGCTCACTCAGAGGAGGAGTTGGAGGCGCTGCTGCTGAACCTGGAGCACTAAGAGGTGGGGACTTACCATCAGCCCCACCAAAACTAAGCACCTGCCTGGGTATTTTATACCATCGGACACTCCACCCCCACAACTCCAAATTGGTGATAGGGCAAGTGTGGAGAGAGTGGAGAGTTTCCCATACCTGGCCAGTGTGCTCATGACCGGCTCCGGTTTGACAGCAGAGGTCTCACTGAATCAGTCGAGCGGTATTATCTTTTCATCGGTTGCGTAACGCTGTGTGGAAGCTACCTGGTCTGTCGCGCCGCACGAAGCTTCAGGTCTTCTCGGCCACAGTCATTCCCTCCCTTCTCTACGCTTGCGAAACGTGAACCCCCCCTAATGGAACATCTTCGCCAGTTAGAAACATTTAGGCTGGCCTGCCTACGATCCATCCTGGGTTTAACCAGGCTGGATTGTGTGAGGAGCTCACATATCCTTGAAAGATCTGGACAAAGTCCCATCGGGAGCTCCTCCGGCAGGCAAGGCTGCGTTGGCTGGGTCACGTAGCCCGCATGCCCAGCCACCGCATGACTAAACAGCTTTTGTTCGGCCGGATAGAGGGGCCAAACGGGTGCGGCACGGGCTAGAGAAGAGATGGAGTGATGTGGTACATGAGGATGTGGAGCTGAGTGGACTTACCAATGACTGGTACCAGCGTTGTCAAGATCGGCTTCTGTGGAGGAGGCTCGTGAAGGACGCTACTGTCGCCCTCCAACAACGGAGGGTGGAGGAGCGACGCTCACAACAACGAGCGGAGCACCGGGTGGCTAAAGCACAACCGGTTGGCACTGTAGGGGGTACAGGTGGTGCATCAGCCAGTCATCTCAGTCAGTCGACCCGTGGCACCTGGGTCTGCCCCGTGACCTGCCAGCGGGCGTTCGACACTTCACGTGGCCTCAACGTGCACATAGCCTGGCACAAGCGTCGTGGTGACGTCACCGCCACTTAGAGGTGAATAGCGGTTGTTGTTATGTGTGTGTTTTAGGTGATGTGTGTGTGTGTAGTGTAGGTGGTGTGTGTGTGTGGTGGTGTAGGAGGGGTGTGTGTGGATAGTGGTGTAGATGGGGGTGTGTGGTGTGTAGGTGGTGTGTGTGTGGGATGTAGGTGGTGTGTAGGTGGTGTGTGTGTGGTGTGTGTGTGGTGTGTGTGAGGGGAGTGGTAGTGTAGTGGTTAGCGCTACACTGCGCTATGAACCCTGCTCACGGCCAACACCAGTGACGATTATCTGAACTGGTCCCGGGCCTCCCCTAGGTCGACTCAGCCTCAAACGAGTACCTGGTGCGGCGTGGAAACATTGCCACTAGGGAGACAAAGGCGGTCGGGCGTGGCGCTGGCCACCCACCCCCTCGTGTACCGTTCCGGCCTTCATAGGTGCTCGCTAACAGCACTTGGCCGAACAGTCTGTTCAGGCTATACAGGGGGATCTTTGTGGTGTGTGTGTGTTGCACTACAACAGCAGAGTATTTATACTGGAGAAATCCGATGAGCTGTAAAGCTCCTTTTTTGTTTAACAGATATCCTGTAAGAGGCGGGTAAGAACGTTTCATACACCAACAGCAAACAATAAAACAAAACCACGACAGTTTGTACAAAGTACAAAGGCAAACAAATCGTCCAAAAATATACTCCGAGTTCGACTCCCGCTCACGGCCAACACCAGTGACGATTATTTGAACAGGTCCTGATCATCCCCTAGGTCAACTCGGCCTCAAATGAGCAGCTAGTGCGATGGTGTTAAATATCGCCACTAGGGAGACAAAGGCTGCCCGGCGTGGTGTTGACCACCTACCCCTTCGTGTACCGTGCCAGCCTTCATAGGTGCTCGCTGACAGCATTTGCCCCACCAGTCTATTACAGGCTATATGAGAGAACTTTGTCTTCATGTAAACGTTCTTAAGCCCTCTTTTATATAACGACCTCGATGTTTTACTCAATAATTGAACATATTTTGTTGATTTTGTTTGTTGTTTTAATTTATGTTTCTGGGTGTTTGTTCCGCACATTTATTTTCAGGTTTGTGTAATGGTTTTCGGCTGCCTTTAAAAATTTCGGAATTGCATTTTTAGGTTTTTTGCATTTAGTGTTCCGTATTTTTAGCTGTTTGTGTTATTGTAATGTTTAATCTGAGTCTTTTATGGTTTTTTTGATCATTTGATGATAGGCTCCTCTCGGTTTTTCAAATGATTCACAATTACAGTACACGCCGTCTAATTTTTTAAATTTAAATTCAATCTCTAGACTTCTCAACTACATTTTTCCGTATGCCAAGTACTTATATAATACATTTGTTGCTTAAATGTAAGCTGCACGTGTTTTTCTATTCTTAATTGTTGACTAATGAATTGTGTTCTGTGCAAATCTTGCACATGGCAGCAATAAGTTCAGAAGCTAAAATGCAAGTGTCGAGGTCTCGTGAGGGCTTCAGCTATTCCTCCTATGGCACCATTCGAGTACAGCATGCACAATCTTATTTCGGTTTTTTTTCTGCTTACTTTTCTAAATGAAAAATAATGACGTTTTATAACCATTGTCAGCGCTATCCTTTTTTCATGGGGGGTTTGCTCTGTAGGTCAAAGTTATTGTTTTTTTTTCCATCTTTAAAGTGTGCTTTTAACTGTGCTTTCTCAACTATTTTAACAAGTGTTAACTCCCATTAATACCGTACAGTACTGTTTTTTTATTTCACTATGTTCTCTTCTTTATGTCCCTATATATAATTATTTTATCTCTTCCTTAATTTCGCTATTATTGTTAATTCACATTTAAAAAGAACAAATACTTTCAATTATACCGCTCGATACAGCTGAAAATGGAAAGCTATTTTTAAGTTATTACTGATATAACGGAAATAATAATTTCAACTTTGTAACGTGCTGCACGGTATTCGCTCACTCTCGTAGAGAGAGAGAGAGAATGACTCAAAGAGGAACGAGGAGGAACCACAGACAAGGAGAAGGCAGCCAGGCAGTGGGCTGGTGCCAACCGTTGCCCAAGATCTGCGGCCTTCTATATACAGTACAGTATTCCATCCCTCTTCACAAACTTACTATCCGCGATTTTAGCTCCCCGCGAATCGCATTATGGACCTCTACACGACTGCAATGAGAGAGAGATACAGTGTTTGAGAGAGATAAAATGTTGAGAGAGATAGAGTGATGTGAAAGGATGTGATGCGAGAGAATATGAGGTGAGAAAGTGATGAGATAATTTTCAGATATTTAAACGCTTATGTATGAACGTATCCCTCACAAATAATGAGGGAATACTGCATTGAGGTGTTACATCTGGGAGGAAACTGGGGCACCCAGAGAAACCCTCGTGTGCGAGGGGAGAAACCCTTTATATCTCATACAGACCGAACAGGTGGAGTCCACATTTGTTGTACCGCCTTCGCCTGGCAAGCTTCACAACCTTTGTGTAATTCACCAACCCTCGTCGCCACACCACTGGGTTATAGGTGTGTACCACCACTGCCCGGCTACAAAAATACATCTTTATTTCAATGCATTATCGTTTACTCATAGAGGTTGCATTTTAAATATCTCAATTATGTGAAACGAACTCTCAAGCATGGTCCAACATTGTAGGAGCACAAATAAAATGTGACCAGTGTAATGTATTTGAATGTTGTGCGTAGGTTTGCTTTAGGTGCACGTGTGCTGTGCATAAAGTAAACTTGCAGAAAATATTGCACCATCATGAGCAGTCATTCTCAATCAACTGCTGGACAAAGGCATCCTGCTGATGCAAATGAGTAGATTCCTGTGCACCGACAATCATTTCAATCTCATAATTATCCTACTTCTAATCACGACGTCTCATATTTGGCTATTTCATCATCGGCCTTCCCCTTACGCGTCAATACGACATTGCATTTGTCAATTGATTGATATCTCCTCAATCAACATCAAATGGAAGTCCACGTGTGTTGTTTGTTTTTGTTACAACATATATCTTCAAATGATGTTCTTATATCTGTATGTGTCCTTTGAGGTATCCCAGGCTTGCTTGTGACTTGTAACACGTTGTGGATTTGCAACATTCGCATTGTGAGTGAGCACATTCATAACCATCACTTGATGGAAACACATTAAATTGACTTCATCTTCACAGGCACAAAAGTAATAAATAACTCGGTCCTCCAACAACAAATCAACTTGTTGACCACACTGTGTGCAGTTTCACGTAAATACTCATTTTGGCACTGCATCATGTTATCTAGCAAAACAATGTGCAGCATTTGTAAATTCATTCTGTGGTAGGAAGCAATTTGTAAAATAGGAAAATGATCGTCTGCCCACAGTTTGTAAGTAAGGAGAACAAGGCTCTGGATAGATGGAAGACACCCATCTAAGCATGCATCATGGGGACAGAGGTAAATAAAGGGTAAGCACATGATTCAAATTCCCATTAAATGATTATTCTCCCACTAACACAGCTACATTCCCAAATGTGCTCATCCTGCATTGTCCTGGCGTTACTGAGAAAAGCGTTAACGATTCCTTATACCACACATTCTATTTCATGTAACATGAATACTGTACAGTATTAATACTCTACCAAGACGATCTTTTTCATGATATTTGAACCTCGAAATTTGAATGTGGGTTTTTATCTCTATGATTTTACTGTATATTCAAGAGTCATATATGCACCTCTGATTAGCATGGTTTGGCTACGTAAGGTGCAAAATAAGTTCTACATACATACATGGATACAGTATATTTAGGAATGCTGTCATATGTGTTTTGCATGATGTCTGAATCCTGAATAAGCTCCCAGAGCATGGAACAAAACGTCAGACTTCGTGTACAACGACGTGCAATACAACTAGAAAACGCATCGGGGGAACTGTACAGCACAACCGCAAAAACGTGTGCAGTCAATTAAATGGCGCTTGCGAACAGTGGGTGGGAGCTCACCTGGACATGGCGATGGGAGAAAAATACTTCTGATCGGTGGTGCGAGCCATCCTTCCTCACACCAACAGCATCGGTGGCTGTGGGCAGTGCGACGGTGGTGGAAGTGGTGGTGGTGGCGGCGGCAGCGGTGGCAGCATCAGGCCAAGGGGGAATGCGCTGCAGGGCATCTATCCAGCTCGTTGCACCTGGAGCAATATGGTTGTGTGGATTCATGGGATGTGGTTGAGAAACCAATCGCCCGACCAACTCTACACGTTCAGTTTATTTCATGCTCAGAGTGACAAGTTAATACGTGGATTCATTGTGGAATTTGTATACAATTACATATACAGTATGTACGAATGTGAAAGCTTAGCGCTCTCTGCACGGCAAGTGCTAGCGAGGTAAGGGTGGCTGTGCTATGGGTGATGGCACTGCCGTGTCCCAGTGTGCTGTGTTTAATAGGTGTTTGCTAACACTACTTGAAAAGGTGCAACATTTTATGGGCTGCAGGCCATGTGATAACTATAGGCTGGTGGGCTGCAGCTTGCTGCTACAAGTGTTCATATTCCCAGCCGCCTCACTTGTGTTCAACCTGTATGTGTGTTAAATGCCATGAATTGCATTTAACACACATACTTTTCGAAATGTGGTTTCAAGTTTGAATGTGGTGTTCTGGCTTGAATAGGTATGGGGTGGTACTTATCTCCTGTTGAAAGCTTTGAACTTTTGTGAAATTTCCACATTCCTTTGGCAGAGGTAAGTTTATCCATAGGACCTCCCACCACATAGTGCTTGATTAATCAACTCCAGAGGGATGATGTGCCAAGTACATTTCCAACAGGGAATTGAAATCATAACGTTCCAGTTGCTTGAACTGCTGTGCCACTTAGCTATACTATTGTACACACGTATTTTTTTTATTTACATACTCTGCAGTGTATAACGCACTTTAGTTCAAACGGGGCATGTTGCCATTGAAGCGCAATTTTTGGGAAATATATATGACTGCTGGTTTGTATGCCCGCAATCAATGCTCTTTGGGAATGGAAAATACAAGTAGTCCTAGATGCTCAGATGTCATTGCTGCCACATCAAATTAATTGGCATCCTAGACCCTATTAATTTTACTCTTGTACCTGCACCTGGGCAAAAAAAAAACACGGAGATGTACACACTTGGAATTACAGCGAGATACTTAAAGAGAAACACATGGATTGGAGGACAAAAACAAGTTCCGGACATTGTATTGACTTTAGAAAAGGCAGTACACGTTGCGAGAAGGGATGATGGCCGGTGGTCGAGACTAATGATGGTGTGGCAGACAAAGGAGTGAACATGCTCAAATTGTTTGCAGGAACTAGAGGGTTTGTTACATCTTGAGACCATAACAGATGGTGACAGATTATTGGAGACCTTCATCCAGTAGTGGATTGATCTTGGCTGATGATGACCTGCACCCTGGAAAAATACAGACTCCAGCTACTCACTATAGAAACATTAGCCTGTTTAAATGTTTTCAATGGAAATTGAAGCCATTGTCACTTTTATGTTATTTATATATGCAGTCTATACATTCAAAGAGTATTTGATATGTTGACACGTATGGGTCACATTTGACCATGCTCAATTATAGCCATGACACTCAAACCACAAAATAATCTGTGGTCCCTTGATTTTAGCTATGAGTAGCAGGGAGCAGGAGGGCAATACAGTGAGATGGCTCCAGTGGTTAAGGTTGCCCAGGGCTTAATTTTAGCCAGAGCTGTGTGTGGCTGAGCTCCGAAACATATTTCCCCCCTGCCGAGGTCTCGAGAGTTGGGGAGCCCAGAAAAATAGTCCATGAGAAATCAAGCCCTGGGTGTGTTCCATCAAAAGGTGACCCATGTCGGAGGAATGATGCGAGGAGAGGGCTTCTGGCTGGGGCTTTCCAATGCGGTCTCTTGGCCACTCTGCCACCGGCTCACACCAGTTTAAATGCATTGTTTCTCTCTCCTGCCAAGGGCAAAACTGCCTTATAGGGTGTATTATGTGGGTTCCTGTGCATGTCAGCAAAGGCCCTCCCATGAGGCGTGCCAAAATGAAGAAACAGAAAAAAACCCCACATTGGGAGAGGAAACTGTGGCTGACTGTACAGCGGATCAGGCGCTCAGCCATACTTGAGAACGTTTGTGCTTATCGGCGGTGCAAAAAAGTCACAGTAGCATTGCACAACAGTTCCATGTTATGCAGAACCATAATATATTTTTGTATTTAGAACATTTTTAATTTCTTTTTCAAAACATTCCATTGTGTTTCCTTAACTTGTGCTGACAACATTGACGGCATGGGCTAGAGTTTCATTGCATCTTTTTTTTTAGTACTTGGAAGAAAAAAAAAGCACCCATAGTTGCATAAGCGAGCACGTGTATGAACACACACGCCTGAAACTTCAGTGGCACTCTTAACTCACAAGTATGCCGCCGCCATGTTTTAACGCTTCTTCCAAATCATTCCGTCGCGAGAATGGGAAAGGGCCAAACTTTTTAGTTTTACAACCAGTAACTTTGTGGAATTTTGGAGTGACCGGTAAAGCGGACTTCCTCAGTCCTGCCTAGAAAAAAACCGTAATGGTCAAACGAAGCGCGCCCACTCTTTAGTGGTGGTGAGAGGTGGTGGGGGGAGGGATGTCATCTTACCTTGGCAGTGTAGCCCCGCCATGCACCTCTGGCCGACCCCTCCCTGCGTTGCTGCTTCTGTTGCTGCTGCTGCTGCCGCCGCTGAAGTATCAGCGTGTTGGAGCCTGTGGGTGTGGCCCCAGTGAGAGGCTAACCTGTCGGCAAGGAGGGAGTTGAGACCACACACAGCAAGGCGGGGGGAGGAGGGCTTCAGATGTCTTGTCACATTTAGCTTGTCTCCGAGGGCAGATTTTTGTTTGCTACGTTTTTTTGCTAGGGGGTCTGCCGATTTGCTGCGAGTTCGTTTGGCTCTTTTGACACCTCGCCTGCCCAAACGACCGACCGCCCACTACTGTTTGGGGCAGAGGGGTTGGATTTAAACCCCAACTGAAAGCCAGGCAGGAGCTTGAAAGAACGCAGCTTCCTGGAAGGGGATGTCAAGCCGGAAAAAGGGTTCTACTGGCAGATTTGTTTCGGTCTCCAGTTGGCTGATTTTTGAGCAACGGATTTTGCTCCGACAAATTTTTTTTTAATGCAAATGAATTTGGGAGGAACTTGATGATGTGCAACTCACTATGGGGACCTCATTTGCCAGTAAAAATATGATAATTGGTTCTTTACCCTTCTATCTGGCACATTATCAGAGTTATGTCTTTTGTTTGTATTTATGACTGCAGGTATTGCGGTCTATGCAAACATGACTCCTTGCAAAAAGGTGTCAGTTTTGTTGCCAGATAGAAGGGTAAAGAACCAATTATCGATGTGCAACTCAGTTTGGGTGCACATTACATTACATGGCAATTTGTTAGAGCAAAAAATAGAAATAATCAGTTGCATAATCACATTATCTAAACAAAATGTAGTATTGTATTAGCTTTGCCATTACAGTAGTTTAGAAGCATTACAAGTACGTTTGACGTATACATTACGCATATGCGCAGTCGAGCGTAAATAATCCCATTTTCAGCTTCATGATGGTGAAATACCTTATTCAGTCTGTAGGGAATACATTTTAATGTATGGCAGTTATAAGCTGTGAACATGACATTTTCATACATTTCCACTTGCAGTATAAAAACACATTTTTTTTACCCACAGTCATACACACATTAAGCACATATCGTGAAAAAGCAACTTCTCTCAATCGCTTGGTAGTTTTGTCTCGTGATGCTATAAATGCGTTGCACACGTGCAACTATGTATGCTGAGCCTGTTTCCTCTTGCCCCGCAAAAAAGTTCCACGACCTTTTTTGATGTTGCTGAAGCATTCCTCAGCCATTACAGTTGCTTGCATCACTACCCACAATTCCTCTTCTCTGCCGGCCACAGCCGATTGGCTTGCCACATTGCCTTGAGTTGGGCTCCATGCCAGGGGCAGCCCTATCCATAAAAACCTTGTGTGAATGTGAGTGCTATTCTCATTTGGGGTGTGTACCACGTGCAAGGCTTTGCCGGAGAATTGTGCAGACGCCGGGGACTTTCCAGTATTTGTGGGATACTGGAGAAGAAAAAATGAAAGTGAAATTCATAAGGTAAGAGCCGGCGAAATGTTATGAATCTTGCATCTATTTTGGCTCACGTTTGACAACAGTTCGCCGTAATTTAGGAAAAAGTGAAATTGATCGTTGTGGGGAGGGGGGGGGGGTTACACATGGATTATGGCAATTTTGAGAGAAGTCTTTTAATAGTTTTCTTCAATAGTATTTTTAATAAATAAATGTTTTAATGCTAACTAAACCACGTTTTTTTTATCCCCATAAATGCTTAATAGCGTTGATACTTTTACAAATTTACTGTAACGGGAGTGTAATTGGGGCATTATTCTTGAGGAATGAGAGTCTTGTTGAGATATGGTTGAAGCGGCAGGGTGCAATGAAAATGTGAATGTGTATCAGCTTACATAGCAAAAGTCCCAAGAGATTTAGCTCAACTGGTCTAATGGCAATCTTCCTAGTTGTGAAATACAAGTGCAAATCCCCAACAGGCTCAACTTAGCCCATCATCCCTAAAGGGGCAAATAAATTGATCACTGCCTGGTTGACATAGCATAATTTGGTAGAAAGATAATGATGGTTGTTCTATAGATAAATATATTTTTTTATACTTTTGTCCCATTAGTTTGGGTTGATAGTTTTTGTCCTTTATCTCCAAGCAGTCTTGTCCTGGACAACGTCAAATCTTCCACCAAACTTCTTCATGTCGTTCAGCATCCTGAATCACTTTTTTTCTGGGTCTTCTTCCTAGTCTTTGTCTCGTAGCCACTGGGGAGCGCTAGAAATTGGGCAACCTCAAATAATCTTCCAAATAATAAGTATCAGGTATAATTTTAAAGGTAATTATCTACGGTTTTAGAAAACATAGCTTATTTATGGAATCATTTGCTAGTTTCATACGGACAGAACTAATTGCACCATCACCATCCAAGCGTAGGTGAAGAAGTCTGGCCATCTGAGTGCATCTGACACTGGTAATGTAAGACAATGTCTCGTTTGCCAACAAAAATGTTTTCTCCCTGACATACTCTGCCCATGTGCAAAGCACTTCATGATCATCCTATTGACTACCGACATGTCTTTGAAATGCTTAAGTGTACGTCTGAAATCATGGAACGGCCCCACTCGATATTGTACTACTTGGGCAACATATCCTGCGTCTTGTCTTCTCACATGACCCAGCCAACTTTGTCGATACTCGCCCATCATGGCTCCTACTGAGGGCTCAATTTCTCACTGGATATTTTCCATGTCACTGATCGGCTGGAAAAGGCACATGCCTCATAACCATTGCCATACCAAGAGGTATATTGGATGTGGTGTGCCCGGTGTGGTCATATTTTCTGGATCGACAACTCAGACAGACCCAGACTAAATGAAGGTCTGCTCCTACTGTTTTGTTGCAAAGCCGACCAGCTCTCATGCAACCAAGTGTCAATATTAACTTTTCAGCGGTGTCAAATAGCTCTCTCCTCCTCACTTGGCAACATTCTAACCCAAAAGTAGTTTCTCGCCTAATCATAGTCTTAACATCGATGGATAGATGAGTCTCTGCCAAAAGAACTTGGAATTTCCACGAATGGTTTCAGACTTGCAATACTTTGAGCACCGTCCGGTGCCCGTGTGAGTATTACGTGTGCACAAATAAAACTTCGCTTTAATGTTTTTTTCCCCCACAGTTTTCCATATTACTGTACCGAAAGGCACTTTTGGCTTGGAGTGAAACTAAATGCCAACGAATGTCATATTTTGTGACTGGTGTCTTGGAATGCCTGTACTTGTTGTGGAATCTGCGCGCGTTGGCCATGAGCTCTTTGCGGTTGTGTGTCCCGAAGGCTGGTGAGACGGAGGGCGAGGCGCCGGCAATCATTGCAGAGGCATTGCCGCGGGGCCACCATTTTGCCAAACCTGCTCACAGGGGTGGTGAAGACCAAAGGAAAAAAGTGAACATTTAATAAACTTAAAAATAGATCTTCTCCCCATTAAGGAGAGTGCATACTGCGATGGCCTAAATGTGTATGTGTATGCATGTCATAACTGTTAGAGCGGAAGTGCAGTTGTTGGTACACTGCTCTACAAACACACTGATCCGAGTTCCATTCCTGACCATGGCTAACATCAGTGGTGAATATAACACAATGGCTTTCACGACCAATATTATCCATAATATAGGTATTTTGGGTTAGATTGCGTAAATATAAATGTGTCGCTAAACCCGCCACCACCTGTCGCCTGATGAAGCTAGTTGTAATAACTGGCGAAACGTCGTTACTCAGTTTGTAAATGTTGTGGAATTGCTCTCCAACACGCCGGTGTGCTGTACTAGTCACGAATTTGGCATGTTCTATTTACTTGACAAACTTTACAAATTGTCTGTATTAGGTGGTCGCAGGTTTAATAACACATTGTGACTGGTGTCTTGGAATGCGATCTAACCCAAAAAAATCAATATTTTCAGTGGTGAATCTCTGCACTGGTCTTGGGCCCCCCTAAGTGACTAGGCCTAAAATATTGAGATGTGTAAACATCAGCACTTTGGAAATAAAGGTGCCTGGGTGTGTTGTTGCCCACATCATCCCATCATGCACCATGGTGACCGCATCACCCCTTTTATCGCCGTACCGACCTTAATAGGTGCTCACTAACAGCACTCTCCCCAACAGAGTATGTAAGCTATGTAGGAGAATATTTTTTTTGTCTTCTAATGAAACCCTCTTGTATGATGCGTACACAAGTGTATTTGTGGTTGCTAGCCTAGTGTAATGATTACTTTAATTGTGAAAGTGCATGAACAGTGTTATTTTATGTGATTGCATTAAGCATTTGTGGTGATAAAGGTGGTCACTACATACTTGCATGATTTGTTTCTGTGAATAGGTTATCACGCATTCCACTTGCTTACAAACATTGTATGCATAACAATCGTGCACTATGAAGACAGATCTTTGCCTGAAATGTCACCGATTATAAATATTTACGACTGTTGTGTTTATTAATGTATGTACGTTGAACTTGAATATTGACTTAAAAGCTTTCGTGACTGCAGGAATTCATATTTTTGGGGTCACGTAGATAGGTTCAAAGAAAATAACAAAAAACTACGACGTTTCGATCGCAACACAAGCGGTCGTCTTCAGGAAGAAGAAAAAACGACGACGTTTCGATCGCAAAGGGTCTTTTCTTGAAGACGACCGCTTGTGTTGCGATCGAAACGTCGTAGTTTTTTGTTATTTTCTTTGAACGTATCTACGTGGCTTTACCGAAAGACCCAAATAATATGTTGAACTTCTTTCGCGCCGTATGTAGCCAACCATGCTAACCCGGAGGTATGCATACTAACAACCACTCGTGATATGTCCTCTGTTTATTGGCTTTCGTGTCACTTCATTGAAGGTGAATGACTTAGTTTACTGCTGGTGAGGATCGTGTGTTTACAGGCGTTTAACATGAAATGTAAAGCATTGTGCAGAATTTCAGTCTGACCCATCATACGTGTGAAACCAATCAACATCAGGGCCGTTACAATCGAGCATAGGCTCGATTGCGTTTATGCCAAATTAGTATTTAGTCCTTTCAGAAGATCATTATAATTTAGATCAGTCACTTACAATAATTTGTGCCAAATTATATCTCTATAATAAAAAAAGGGTTGACGTACGAATACTTCTCAAATAGTAAATATATATCTGAGGAAATTACAATTGTAAGGCTGAAGCAGAAACTGGATGTAATCACATTAATACAAATATAATAGATGTCTATCCATCAGTTTAATTTATGTAATAATACAACAAATGAAGTACAATTACTAACAATTTGGAATCAATATAGCAAATATTGAATTCACACTAAATGAAATGTGTATTTCTATCTCGCATCATGGATATAATTTAAAAAGCCTTTGTATTTTGACTCCCGCAATATTTGTGACATATTCCAACAAAGATGGGGAAATACCCCGGGCGGGAAATTTCTTGGTATAACTTTTACAGAAAATTTTCACGGATAAAAAAAATATTAATCCAGTTTTCTTTTTAGAAACCACTGTCACTGAACACATTCTATAGATTGTGATACATTAGCCCATGTAAGAAGATTAATACAGACCGATTTTTTTTTTATTGTATGGCACAAGTGTTTCGGAAGTATGTTGTAAAATTGTAGTATAGGTCCATGAATGGTAAAGGTATGGATCTGCATTTTCTTGCACACGCCACTGCTGATGGAATGTCCTCTAGAGGGAGCCCTAGAGAGCCCCTCGAGAGTGTATTTGGCCTACTCTTCCATGATGGATGAGGTGGGAGTACTCACCAGTTACCCCCACCACACGTGACTTGCCGATCAACTAACTGCGGAGTTCTAGATTTGAAGCTTTCGTGACTGCAAGGATTCATACTCTTTGTTTTTTTCGGTAAAGTCACGTAGGTAAAAAAATAAAAACAACTAAATTAAATCACGACGTTTCGGGCGCAACACAAGCGTCCGTCATCATGTGTTGCGTCCGAAACATCGTGATTTAATTTAGTTTTCATATATTTTATAAAAAAATTACCTACGGGACTTTACCGAAAAAAACTGAGTATAACTGGGGAGTCCCTGTTCCCGTTTTTCTTATACGGTACTGCTTGGTGGACAGAGGGAAGTGGGTAGGAGGGGGGCGAGATTAAAAACAACTTGCACTAGTTTCAACTGCTGCGCCAGGGGGTTGCATTAATGGTGACAGTCGTATAATTTAACGTATGTAACAATTGAGGGTTCGATTTAAGTATTGATAATTTCCCATATTTTTAGCATCAAGTTTATTGTAGTCTCGTTTTTATCTGTCTCATACAAGTTTAGTTCTTTCCACGGTCCCAACCTGGCAATGGCAAATCGCCTTCATAAAGTGTAAATGTGTCAATTATTCTAATCTCTATGTTTGTCAATTTATTTGCAATGTAATATTCATTATGAAACATCACTTTTACAAGTTTTCAGACAAACTACCATGACATTTCACGCCCACGTGTTAAGTCTTTACATTTGTGTGCAAGCTCTCTTCCTCCTTACCGTCAGCATACTAAGCTGCCAGTCATTGTGCCATACACCTGCGAATATTCACTTTCAGGGCCAAGCTAAGCCATTTCAAGGACACCCGTAAACATTTCATTGTGTTTTATTTTATGTTCCGTACATCGATGATTGGAATGCCACCAATTCATAAAGCTGAAATAAAATGTTCCATATTTTGTGATAATTGTACTGTATATTCAACACTTCCAGTCCTGTGTGAATAATTCACTACTGGATGAAGGCCTCTCCATGCTGTGTTGCTCATGGAAATTGTGTGAACATACTTGACTACTCATAATCAACGTTTTTGGGTTTAGATCGCGTTATTTATAAATGTGTCGTAACCCTTCACTACCCGACACGGCCAATCTAAGTAATAAGTGTCACGTTGACAAAAAACAAATAGTTCACTGCTTTAGCCCACAGGTGTGTTGAAGCGTGAAACCACAACATTTACAATTTTTGAGTACGACGTTTCGGTGGTAATTGCATCCAGCATTATCGGGCAATTCGCCACAATGGGGTTACGACACATTTATAAATAACGCGATCTAAACCCAAAAACGTTGATTATGAATAATATTGGTCGCGAAAGCCTACGTGTTAAACTGATACTTGACTACTGTGATCAGTGTGGGTTGGTGAAGTTGGTTGCCAATTGGGGGGGGGGAGGCTGCAGAACCGGTTTAGATATCACGCGCCACCAATGCGAGGCGTGATTGAGAATCAAACTCGGGGATACAAGGGTGGCCAGCTTCATTGTGCAGGGTGCGAAGCACTGCATTATGCTCCACTCCAGTGTTTACGCCGCACAGATCATCTCCTCGCAACTCTCGTCCCTCGCCCACTCACTTTGGAAACCCTTATAAGCAGTTGCATTTGGAGGCTTTTGCCCCCTCTTTTCTCTCCGCCTGACGAAGACCGCTTGTGTCGCGATCGAAACGTCGTGGGTTTTTTTGCTTTTATTATTTTCAATTTATTCTTAATTTTATTTTGTTTTCTACCTACGTGACTTTACCGAAAGAAGCAAGAATATGAATCCCTGCAGTCACGAAAGTTTAAGTCAAAATGTAAAATCTCAAAGCCAGTAAATGTCATGGTGGGTGAATATCATTGTGACCTATATTAGTAAAGTGCTAATTACAGCAATGTTATTTATCACCTTTGAAATGGGTGTTGCGAATTGGACCCCTGCGGTGGTACCTGCCATGCCCCACAGGAGAGAGGTTAGTGAGAGCATTGTTTTACTGGCGTTATTAACATGTTCATTATATATCTATATATAAAACACTTTAATCAATTGGTGTTGCTAAGTAAACATTCCAAGCTAGCGTTTATAATTGATGGGACACTGGGGGTTCTTGTGTTGGCGTGATAGCAAAAAAAGAGTCGAATGCTACTTTATGAGAACAAGAGTTGATGCTCACTTTGTGCCGTGCAAGCACATGTAGAGTTCTCTGTAATAAGGTACAACACATCCAACGTGCACCTGCCCAATGGTCGACAATATTCATTACGTAAAATAGGAGCTGCATTTTCTCCATATAAGTCTACATTTTGTATACATTTTCAGTGAAGTTGCCACTTTATTAAGTGCAGAAATCATCTTATGGGATGTGTAATGTCTACAAGACATGGTGCCCTTTCTTAATACCGTGCAGTGTGACATTACAGTTAAATGCTCAAGTTTATGTCATTTGTTGAAAACGCTAAGTAGGCTATTATTAGTATGCTGTCATCTCAAACAATGTAAACTGGGGTTGAATTGTAGTATTAGCGTGACAATAAGGATACGCCATTTCATATTTGACATACTGCACAGCATCAAACCTTTAGAATTGTGTACGTATCACAATGTTGTGCATGGGTATTGCCATAAAGGGTGATCCGTTTATAGATGCCCCACACACGTGTCTAATGAGTTTTCTCAACAAATGTTTGAATATTGGAAAAGTGATGGCTATATATTTTAGGGAGTTTAAAAAAAAATATTTCAATAGTGTAGAGGTTGGTGGAGTATCTATTAATGGATCATCCTGTAATCTGGAGAGAGGAAAAAAAATCACCATGTAGCTGAGAGTAAAATGGTTATTTTATACATCCTGGTGTGTAATTTTATTCAGCTGCGAATTCTCCGTACAATTGGCACGCAAGTGGCCTGTGCTTTCACTGTACTCTAATAACAGAATTTTAAATACAAAATGTATTTAACTTTTGGCTAATGGCAGTTTGTGCAGTTAATTTTTTTTAAATAGATCGTCTAAGGTAAAGCTGTAAGGTACAACTTTAATGTTATAGTATGCTTATCTTATGGCCTCAGTTTCTCCAACTTGAGAATGATTCACTGCACGCACTCCAAATTTGAAAAAAGGCCTTCTCAGGATGTTGCCATGTTCTATGAGCCTGCGATACAACAATCCATCTTGCGCCCACACACGTGCTGCTTTAATCACTCATCTTTGTGGTACGTTCTCTCTTCAGCTGATGTGTTCCGCTCATGTCCACTTTTCTTCAGTCAATACGATGTCTCTAACTTGTGTATGCTCTCTGATCTCCGTGTTGGTGTTTTTGTGCCCCAGTGTAATGACAAGCATGTACCTTGCCACCCTTGTTTGCATACCTGTCAGATTTTGTTGTTAATGTATCTGATTAATTTGCCTTAGCAGGTAATATAGATTGTTTATAAACGTTCCCCTTCAGATGCATTGGTATGGTCCTTTTCATTCGTAAGTTCGTTTTTCTAAAGCGATCTAGCCTATTGTTGTCCACCTCTTTATTTCAAGATGATTTTGATCCTGGTCCATTATAAATAATTGCCAGCGGGTGCGCATGCTTTAATCTGTTTTCCAATTGTGCCCCTCCACCAGACATCTTTAATTTTGTCACGAAATTGTATGTGATTTCTAGTAATTTATTTTGAGCCCATATTTGCGGCCTTTTTTTAAAAAAGCCTTTCAACTTCAATATATTACCATTATGACTATCATAATAACCTCTGAGATGGACAATATATATATTTTTTTATCAATCTATGTTTATGCCTTAATAGTTCTAATTTGATTTTCAGAAAACACCTGCTATTGTTGTGACTTCATTTGGAGAAAGTGTGTCTGTTAGTATGACTCGCCTTTTCACATGTATTTTTCTGCACATATCATGAAATAAACGGTAGTTATTCCGGTTCTTGTAAATGGGTAATAATAATAAATATATTTTTTATTTAGAATTTTCTTCGTAAAAGCTTGCGTGGCTACATCAATTTCCACTGATTCATGCCTTTTAATAGTTTACAGAAGGATAGGCAAATTGGTATTTAATACCCATTTATATTTTCCCAGATTCAGATTTATAGTATAAAGATGTGGTGGATGGCAGACAACCCTTTCCTAAACCAAGCTTGCTCATGTGGTTTTAGGCCGATACAGTTTCCGTGTTTCTGTTTCCAGTGGTCTTCGTGAATGATTTATATACACGCGATAAGGGACTAACGCAGAATATGAATGTAATGAAAAACGAATCAATTTCAGAGTGAGGATAAAACGCATTCAGACATTATAGTCAATGATATAAATGCAAAGGTAGGTAGCAGGTGCATTGAGCTGAGGGTTATTCTTAAGTATGCCATTGCGGTGAGAAATGAGAGGTGAGTGTCAAGTTTGCATCCAGCAAGGATATGAGGATAATGATTTTTAAAAAGGCATCTAGGAGAGTGGTGTGGAGCCCAAATGGTGAAATTAGAAATGAGCTATTCTCAATCTTATCTTGCGAAACCCAGATTGTCAAACGTCCCTGTCCTCAACACATTAAAAACAGGAAGTGACCACAGACTGGTGCGATGTTTGTTACAATTCAACTTGGTCAGAAGGCGCAGATAATGCCAGGGAAAACCCAGATACAGTAGTTAACATTAAAAATATGGGTTGGGAGGTAGCCAATTTTAGACGAACTGTAAACATTGAAATTCACGGAGAGAAATTATGATATGCGTGTCACCACTCAATAATGCAACTAAATCGTATGATAGTGAATAATACATTGGAACGGGGGCGGGGGGGGGGCTATGTTTAACAGCAAATTGTCTGAAACTATAGAAGACGTGTTGAGGAAGAAGAGATACAGAAAGAGACTGAGAAACTAAACAAAATATTGAATACGCAGAACGCTGTGAGACGATAAAAAAATACATTTAGAAAATAAATCGGAGAACCAACAAAAATGGTTGTCCTAGCCAAGCAATGTGAGCATGAGAGCTGCAAAAAGATGTTTTTTTCTTAGCCAATCCCCAAATAGAAAAAAAATGAAAAAATAAATACATGGAACCATAAACACGATGTTGCCACAGACCACAAAAACGCTTCATTTTTTTCACGTTAAAACTAAACATTTTCATCTCATTACCGCGCACCGAGATGACCGGGAGTGTGGGATGGCTTATACGCGCGTGTGTATGATATACAGTATAGACGCACACGTACAGAGTACAAGTGAATAATACCTATACGCATTCTCTGTCCGTGCCTGTTGTTGGTGGTGGTGGTGCTGCAGGCTGACTGTGAGGGTTGTTCGGAGCTCGAGACGCCAATCCGCGTCGCCCACCGCCGCTGCTGCCACCACTGCCACTGCTGCCACCACTGCCACCGAGAGGGCTCAAACGCGCATGGCTCAGAGGGCTCAAGCGCTGAGCGCAGCAGCAGCAGCAGTTGCCCTGGCGATTGCGACACACCACCACGCGTTCGCGTGCGCACGGTCGTATATTTCGTGGTAAGTCACCTTTTTTTTTATTTTAAACGTGTGTGACCCATTTTCGCTTCTTCTCCTCTCGTCTGCGCGACGTTGCTCTTCTCTCGCGTTCTGTCGTTCTGGTCTTCTCATGCTGTGCGCGGTGTGTGTGTGTGTGCTTAAATGTGGTGGCTTTGCAGGGTCAATAACACCACCGGTGTTGCTGTATTCGTAACGAATTGGCACGTTCTGTTTACGTGAGAAACCTTACTAATTGTCCGTGGCGGGTTTCAAAATATATTTATATATTTACGCGATCTAACCCCCAAAAAAGCTGCATTACGGATAATGGTCGCGAAAGCCGACGTGTTAAACTGTGCGCGCGCCCCGCTTAAATAAAAGTCAAAGCAATTAATAAGACGATCATGCTAATGGGGCACTGGTTTGTCTTCCCGTAAATCGTTTCGATGGGGTTGCGGTGACCATACGTTTGCAAATGGGTAAAAGAGCCGTATTGCCCTGCTGGGATTTCACCAAGTTACGGGTCACAGAGTCAATTTTAAATCAGCATGTAGAGCAAATAATGCATTGTTATAAGAATACGCTTTTGAACCCTGTCTCTCGGTTCATATAAAATTATCTCAAGTGTCAGGCCATGTGCTTTTATGTCACTATGCTTCTGTGACATATCCAGGTTTGAAATAATGTATGCTTAGATACAGGCGTTTTTGGTTTCATATTGAACATTTTCAGAACAATTCCCTTAAACATCAGATGTAATTGTTCACCCGAGTACTTTCCTTAGGTACCAGACATTACGCATCAGAATGATAAAATCTTACGAGTTGAATGCCCGATGGCCTTGCTGTTTTGGAACACAATTGTCACATCTTTGATTTATTGTGTATCCAAGTGGGTTGAATTTCAAAATTTTTCTCATGCTAATTCTGGCGGAATGCCTCCACTAGAGGGAGATCTATCGTACCCATGTTTCATATACAGTATACTTTATATATCAAATGAATGGTATTGGGAAATCAGAGCAAGAGAGGCAGCTCTATAAAGCCCTTCTAGAGGACGGTATTTTGTCCTACTCTTCAACACTGGCCAGGTGTCTTTGAGGTTCGACAAGCACCCATGTTTTATATGATTAATCAGTGGTTGCATATAATGTAACCGATATAATTCACTATGTATTACAAGTTTTCAATTGAAACCTTAGTCCATTACTCTGAATCAATAGCCTTGCTCTATATATTTCAAACAAGCCTTTTCGTTGGTTGATATTTTGTAGTTCTGCATTACATTGAGATTCTGATTAAAGCCGTTTAATGCAATATTTTGATTAAAATCAGTGCAATCTTGATACATTTACCAAGATTTGTATGTATAAAATCAGTACCTCATACTGCACTCAATGCACGTGTTGTTTTCCAGATTGGAGAGGCCTACATAATCCAGGACCATACTGCCTTTCCTCCCCACCCATTTCATTTTTCTGCACGTTGCGCTATTGTGGAGCACACAATTCGTCCGAGTATGTAAGTGCTTGACTGCTTGCTAGGTGCATTGTGTGCTTCTACGTGACCTAGATTGATGCTGAAACGTGGATAAGCAAAATGCACACACTTTACTGTGCAATTGGCTTGAACACTTGGGGGCATTACAATGTACCAGAACTTCTGCACGAGCAGTTATTGATGCCGACTAGGACAAATGATAGGCCGAGAGTGGCTTGTGTTTAATTCATGTTCACAAACTAGATTTTCTCGAGTCGTGGTTTCCAACTTGTGGTATGTGGACCACTGGTAGTCTGCAAGGTTGTGGGAAGTGGTTCACAGAACTGATGGAGAAAAATGTTTTCCACATGGTCTGAAATTTTATTTTATTGAGGATTGCGACTGGTTCACGAGTTTGGGAACCACTGTTGTACAGCATTGCTCCTAGTATTTAATGTCACAAGTCTTTGTAGCATGTCACCATTCAGATACATTTACCAAGAGTTTCTATGTTGATGTGATTTGTGGTGTTAGTTTTTACTTCTACTATTTTGCACTATAAACAAGTTTGTAATTGTTTTGTTTCAAAGATACGTCTAAAGTAATGCATATAAAACGCAAACAATATTTACGTAAATTCCAGTACATTAGATGTTTTTTTAGGTTTTCCACTGCAGCAGTGATTCTTAACTAGGATGGCGTTTTCTTTCAAAACACATTTAAATTTGAAGGGATCTCAGAAAAGGTGTAATATGCATTACTTGTCTGCTAATAGATGTCAGCTTTAGTGCAACGATGCCGTTATACAATAGAATTGCACTGCTACAAGACAAACTGCTGAACATTTGCATTGCTCTTGTATACATTTCATGCCTTGTAGTTTTACAACTTTTAAATTAGTATTTCAAAATAAAATTTAAATGTACTGGAATGTTTGTTGAAAATTGTGAAATAAACATTTCACGGCCATAACATACACGTATAACGTTTTCTTTACATGTTAAACACAATGTGAAAAATGCAAAATTGGTTACGCTTTCCATGCAGTCATGTGCACAAGTGTTGGTTTATTGTTAAAGCTCCTGCAACATACACTTAATACTTACATTTGCAATAAAAAATAAGCATTTATTTCAATTAGTTCACTGCAGCATGTTTCTCACTTTCCATAATATTTCAGCATATACAGTCAAAGGAATTTTAATCAAGCTTGTTGATTTTTTCGGACAATCTGACAAATAGTTTCTTTCTGTTACTGTGAACATACGCAGTTTTACCAATAGTCAAGTTTTACTCAGGTTTTCAGCACAAAAGCTACCACAGCTTTTTTTTCTCTCACCGTGGAAAGGTTTCACTGATATTTGGAAATTCGTAAAAAAACAGCGGTTTCCTGGAGCCGAGAAAATGGCCAATGGTATTTGCCGGTTTGAGTGCAGAGAATTGAAAAACCACTATTGTTACAGCACTGTTGGAATTTAATTGTTGTACACGACAGTATTTTTTTCAAGACCTGGACTGAAACCAAGACCTGTATCTGATTTTTGTCGTCAGGGAAATGCTGCGTAGTGTCGACAATGGAATGGGTACTAAGTTAATGGTTATAAATCAGTGTAATTTATATAGGGTATATAAAATTACAACTCATGCAAAATTGTACAACAGAAAAGTGTGTATTGCTTTATCCAGTTGGATTTTTAAATACACATCCATCAAACTATTGTTCGTTTGAAAGATTATAATAACTAGCCAATGTTATTTTAAAAGTAACTAGCTAGTGGCATATCAATAGGCTGGCAAATAAATTCACCACAAAATGTATGATCCTTATAAATACAACTGCACACAGGCCAACCTTAAAGAACACATTCTACTTGGCAAGCACTGCGAATGTTGAGCCATTTTTAGATGTTACTACCATTGCCAGATCTTAATTGAACATAACTTATCAGAATGATTCCCCACAACAAGAACGCCTCAGCCCTTAAACTCAGCAGCCATTCACAACCGCTGTTATAGATATTATTTATTTCAGCTGGAAGGGCCCAATGAGCTGTTGGGCTCTATTTCCTCGGCATAAACATCATGCAATGTGGGACCATATTGTTAAAAAATAGTAGTAATTGCTGGATGTGTTGTCAAATCGGAAGTTGTGTACGGTTCAAGGTTGACCTTTTCTTAAAATCTTCACTTCCCTTATCCCCAGAACAGATGTGTATGATGTGCCACTAGACTTATGCAGTTAAAATACAACAGCAGTTATCGCAATAAAAAATATTCCGAAAAAAATACTTGAATACAGATTTATTACTGAATGTAACAATTTAGTTTTAATATATATAGATTTTAGAAATGCAAATGTCGACTAAATTCCACAGATCACACTTAACATTTATACAGTATAGTACATAGCTTACCTTACGGTACACAAAAGCAACACAAAGCCACAGTTGAGAAGAACATGTTTGCGTAGACACTCAAACATTAGTGACAGCAGGGGTTATTTACGGCTAATATAGCCACTGTGCTCCTAAGTAAAAAGTTCTGAAATTAAAAGATGTAATTTAACTTATCCCTTTGGTGAACTTTAAATAACTGTATTTAGATGACACAAGTTAATGTTTTCCATACATATTACTGATAAGGCCTGGTTAATTTACTTTCCCCATTCAGATTTGGTGAAGACAGAAAATGTGGTACAACGATGACCAAAATACCACTTGTAAATCAGTACAATATATTCCTCCTTTTAACCTGCTGCCTTGAAGCAGCGCCTACACAGCACAACAGACCTGGGGTCAATAACAATTCGAATTGTCTCATTTATAATTCAATTCAACCCATAATGCAAATTGTAAAACAATGTTACGGTGTTTGTAATAACAATTGCCCCCAGGTTTGGAGTGTAAAAAGAAAAGCAAATCATGCCTATGCGACGAAGCAATTATCACTTTAAAGCTTACTTTGAGTAACTGTATCCAAGTGTTGTAAACGGCGTACATTTGGCGCTTGGCTAATGCCTTAAATAACCCCTGATGATGGCCGGTTGAACTCACAAGGCTTCAAAATCACAAGTCTGAATCGGCCGTTGTTGCTTGAGTCATCGTAGCACCTGCCACTAAAATTGTTACATGACGCTGCAGCAGGAATTTTGTTTCCGAGCCTAAAACGAAAACAACACGTTCATTAGCGTAAATGCAGCAGCAGGTCAAAGCAAAATATACTTCACGTCACCAATAACCTAACCTTTAAAAATAAGTAAAGATGTTAATATGTACAGAATGTGAAGACTGTGTTAATTTTATACGGTAGAATATGTAAATATTTATTTTATTGACAGCAAACAAATAAGTCGAAACTGATGAAAATAAATGATGTACGAGTCTTTGTGAAGAGTCACCGTTTTGTAGAAGGTTTTGGACTGAAGGCTGAGGTGATCCGACTTGGAGACCAAATCATCGAGTTTTTCTCCACGTTGAAGAAGCGACTCCATGGTATGGTGCTACAGAAACAGAGTAAATGTCTCCATCGTCCAGACTACTGAGATGCAAGCAACTGCTCGTCATCAAAGCTCAATGTGGCACATTCACTTTGTAAACCTATAGCATTGAAAGACACAAACCACTCACCAATATGACTTTTGTTTCATCCAGCTCTGCCTGCACCTTCGTCATAGCGTCCGCTTCCTTTGGGTTCTGCCAAAAATAATTGTCTTCAACTTTCACTCTTCATATTGAGACACATTTTTTACTTATGGGTGTCGGACAGGGCAAGTACAAAAACTATTAATGGTACATATACACACGGACATTTTAATACCTGGTATTTTGCAAGGTAGGCATCTAGTCCTTCAAAGGTGGTCGATGCCGGGGAGCCTCCGGGCCAGTCTGTACTTTTCACCTGCATAAAAAACTCCTCCAAAACCTTTAGAATAATCAGAGGAACAGGGTTAGCCTGTATGCATCTTAAATGTTCAAACGTATATAAGACAAGCTACATTAGCAAAGACTAGAGTTCAGATTAGTCGATACTTGGCGTCCCTGTCAAAGATATTATGACATTTACCATAAAATACTCAAATGAGTGCAAATAAAAACAGAAGGGGGGAATGCGGCCATGGTGTGTTGGTTAGCACACTGGATATGCAAACCAGAGATTGCTGGTTCCATCTCCTGGTACGGCAGTTGAAAACGTCTTAAACCCGCTTGTTCACCCAGCAGTAGAAATGGGTTAATGGGGATATATAATTAATTGATCAGTAGGTCATGTGTGGTGGGGTAAAAGTGTCGGTACATCTACCTTTTCCAAAACGTCTGGTCAGCGTCAAAGAGTAGGCCAAAATATACTCTCAAGGAGCTCTCTAGAGCTAGATGGACAGGCTGTTATACTGGTAGGAACCTCCTGGTTACACCAGCCCACAGGGGATTATTGTGTCCGTCGTGCAGGGAGGGGCTGGGTAGGAAGGGAGGGGCTGGGTTGGGAGGGGAGGGTGGGGCTGGGTGGGGAGGGGCTGGGTGGGGAGGTTGGGGCTGAGTGGGGGGTGGGAGGGGTGGGGCAGGGTGGGGAGGGGAGGGGCTGGTCACCCCGTGGTGCCCTTGTTTAACCTACTCACGCCAGCTTGTGCCCGCCCTCACAGTCGGGCATATTTGCGGAATACACCACGCCGCCGTTGACCCTGGCCATTGACCGAGCAACCCAACGTTCCTACCAGCTCCCTCCGCAGGAATGTGTTGCTAGGAGTGGCATGAGCAAGAATTTGCAGGACTGCACATTTACCTTTACGATTCAAAGCAGCGGCTAATATTTTCAAGCGACCTCTATGAATCGCATGATATTGGCTGCATTGCTTGTTTGCTTGTGATAAGTTGCATTTCATTGCCATGATTTACGTGCTATGAAGAAGGGCTATTGCCAAAAACGTCGCCTACTATGTCCTGTTCTCCATTTAAGGCAGTGTTGTTGAGAAATGTCTTGGATGTCAGTGGCTGATCCTGAGAGAGCGACTCATGTTTACAATGTAAATGTGCCACACGTTCACTTGCCTTGCCGAGAAGAGAGAAGCAGACCCGTGATGGATATTCATGATCTGCCACAACCACTCCTGCCAGCCCATCCTCACGTACATGAACATGACAGAAGTAATCTGCAATCAGTTACAATGAGAGCAATTCATGCATGAATCCTGCAAATCTCAAAACAAGAACAATAAGCATAGCATGTTCTTCACAGTTCTGCCAGATAAGTGCCTGTTACGACTAAAAGTGTATTTTTCGAGGAGGATTTGGTTCTAAAGTCAAATGTAAAAACATTTTAAGTTAAGTGCTAAAAACCTAACACACCACAAGAATGTTTCTTACGTTAAAAAACAATAGTTGTATAAACCAATCATGCTTAGAAATCATTGTCACAAATATATTACATTTTCTACCTTGTTCTTTTACAGAAGCACGACTGCATCGGTTTGTCCTCTCCACAATGATTTGACTCGTAAAAGCCAGAAATTCCTGTACACTGTACAGAAACAGGTGCATGTTTATAAAAGAAAGATTTAAAACATGTGAAACACATTGGCTATTCTTTATTTAAGCACAACGTGTCCCCTAATTTTCAACAACGGCCGTGAATCTGGCTATGCATGTGATCATATGGATGACTTGTGTGTACATTTCAGCACCTATCAAATGTCATTCAGAAAATTACAACAGTAATCCTTCACCAACTAATTAAGTGCAACGCCCTTCCAAAGACATTTTACGTGCCAACAAAGTTTGTAAAAAGAAACATTTTAAATGTATAATTTTACGTGTTAACATAAATGGTTCATTAATAGACAAAGACCCCCCATCATATCACCTCAACAGACTGTAGGAGCAAGTGTTGTTAGTGGTCACCTTCACTTATCGACCACGCATATTGTGACAAACATTGCATACCTGAAATACATACATAACCACCCTCATGCCCATGTCAATAACATTTAAAATTTTAAAACTGTTACAGAATCACAATGGTATACCTAGACCGCTGGAAAAACCCAAATGATGAGACATCGTAGGCAGCTTTTAGGAGGTTTGCTTTATTTTCTCCTTTGTAGAGGATGCTCAAGCAGTACAGCTTCATGCTTGTTTTGTCCACTTGAACTTGCCTATCTTCTCCAGCACTGCAAGTAAATATTCACGAAGAGCATTAACTTGATGATCGAATCGTGTTTTGGTATCCTTTTCAGTATCAATGATAGCCCAAAGTGAAGATGTAAATATCACAACATGCACTGCGTGTTTCGACTCCAGTCGAGTCACTGTGCTACGATACTCAAGAAATGAGTTCGGTGGTTAATAATGAAAATGACACGTCAGGAAAATTCCCATTTGGTCGGAAAACAACTACTCACTTCCCACGAAGTGGCACAGGTCAGGCAGTGCTTAACACCTTAGAGAATTGGAATCCATTTCCACAGTTTCGAGCTTACCGTATACATTTTCTTAGTAGGGTTGTACCTCGGTTTACGTTGGGGATGTATTCGTGAAAGTTGCGACAAACATCGAAATGACGTAAACTAAAGAAATGTACAGGCTAGGTTGGAGGCGAAGGCTGAGGCGACGGATAGGAGAAAGGACGGATGATGCTGTCAGCGAAGTTAGTGTGGGTTGAGGCGACAAATCAGGTAGTGATAATGTATTTGCAAAACGATGTAAAATGGCCAGACGTAAATCGGGGTATTATTGTATAAACATATGCCGTAACGTAAGTTGGAAGTGTTTAAATCTCAAGTGCACACACTAATATGAAATATGAAGGTTCTAATGGGCTGTAAACGCCATAATTCAATGATTTCACCAGAGGGTGCCATCACTTCTATCAGCTGAGCTTATATACAACCAATAACTAACCCTGTTGTGAGCACAAACGTTGCCACTGGAAACTCTTCATCAATTGGTAACGTATCATGTACTGACTGGAGGTATTGTGATGATTGTGCCAAGTCAACATTGATGTTGTATCATCTCACAATACTGCCCTCCTGCTCTATCAACTGTGCTCGTACATTTTTCAACTGTGCTCATCATATACACTGTTTACAATTTTTTTTCCCACTTTCAGTTATATTTCCATTGCTTTATTTAATAATTAGACAAAAACATTCCGGCTAAACAATGAACGAATTGGCTTGAAATCATCACTTGAAGAATATATCACAGAATGACTTCAATAGGCATTTTGATCGCATTAGAGGGCACACATTTTATATGCTGGGACATGTCAAACCGAAATTTTAATTAGTCAGATTTAGTCTAGCTACGTGATACTAAAGCTATAATAAATCGAATTAACTGAAAACCCTAATTTAATATCCACTGCTACTGATAGTAATGTTAATATCAATAAAGGCGAACATGTTTTTTTAAATACTGAAACCACCATGGTTTGAGTATAAATGTCTATCCACATTAACTGCCAATCCAAATTTAATATGATGTTTTTTGTGCAGTCATTAGCGATTGGAGAGTGCTTAAACTCGCTATACAGTACTTGAGAGCCGAGTTTAATTACACGTGTGGCTTAAACACGGATTCATATCCATGATCTCAGTACGGTCGTGGCAATGCAGTCAGTTGGTCTGACCTGGTACCTCCTGTAATACTGCATGTGTTTTAAACGTAAGTGAAATGTGTACGTTTCAATTGCAACATCTTGACTCGAGCTCAAATCCCGGCTCAACATTAATCTCTCAAGCTCTACCGGCACCTGTAACGTGAATACCACTTATGTGGAAGGTCACCGTTAGTACTTATCCTGCGTTGTGGAATATCAGCCATTATTAGTCCAGGTCTGAGAATGAAACACCATAACACACTCACGGGGCGGAAACCACCGTGCCACCTTAAAAGCCGCTGTTATAAACTTGCATCATTATGCTCCACGTGTGCCGGGCTGTCAGAAATTTACAACACAGTATCTCGAAGCTTCGCTAATTAAAATAAAGCTTTGAAAGTGATGATCAAGCGGTAGTTGCGTCACTACAGTGCTATTGTGTGGTGTAGAAACAACCACACACACACACCACCTAGCCTCTTGTGTCTTAGAGACTAGACGATTCGACAAAGGAACGTCTCAGCTTTAATTTCCCTTTAATTTCGAATTTCACTCATGCGGCAGATATACGATAAACGACCCCCTAACCACGGTCATCCACCCAGTCACCCAACCAACCACCCGGTCACCCACCCACCCGGTCACCCACCCGGTCACCCACCCGGTCACCCACCCAGTCACCCACCCAGTCACCCAACCAACCACCCGGTCACCCACCCAGTCACCCAACCAACCACCCGGTCACCCACCCACCCGGTCACCCAGTTACCCACCCACCCGGTCACCCAGTTACCCACCCACCCGGTTACCCACCCGGTCACCCACCCAGTCACCCAACCAACCACCCGGTCACCCACCCGGTCACCCACCCAGTCACCCAACCAACCATCCGGTCACCCAGTTACCCACCCACCCGGTCACCCACCCGGTCACCCACCCAGTCACTCACCCAGTCACCCAACCAACCACCCAGTCACCCACCCAGTCACCCAACCAAACATCCAACCAAACACCCGGTCACCCACCCGGTCACCCACCCGGTCACCCACCCGCCCCAACCACTTCCGACACAAGAGAAAACCGACAACGTCGACAGCATCAGTATCCGCAGGCCCGAGACCATTGTTCGCAAGCGAGCGAGCGAGTGGGAGACGCGAGTAAAAAAAAAAGAAAGCTTCGGGTGTTAATTACCATGAAGAGTGTGAAAAAACAGCGGCGGCGGCACCAGTTCCACAGCCTTCTTCCAAGCACCACGTCGAACTGAACTCTGACCCGGAAGTCCCCCGTGCGTCATCCGGCAAGCAGTGATGTCATCATGACGCAATTTTGGCCTCGTCGCTCAGAAACGGTGGAGAGAAGTGACGTCACGATCGACGTTCGGAGGCGGCTCACGTGACGCGCGTTAGTCGTCTCCGCCCCCACCCGCTGTGACGTCACCGTCACTGAGTGACGAATGGCGGGCATTGGTATTGGAGGGGGGTGGTGGTGGTGGTTAAGGGACACAGCTGGTGCCATAGCAGTCATCTCAGCCAACCCATGGCACCTGCTGGGTCTGTCCCCCGAGACCTCCTGTCAGCAGCGAGCCAACGTGGCCTAAAAGTGCACCTAGCCTGGCACAAGCGCCTCGGTGACGTCACCGACCGAGCGGCGAATGGCGTCTCTTGATTGGTCGCCTACTTGCCGGAACTCTTCCCGTGGCCCTCTGAACGAGACTGACGTGGCAAACCAGTCGCCCTCGCGCATGCGCACAGCGATTAGGGAGGGGGGGGGAGGGGAAAGGGGGCGGGGCTTCTGGCGGGGCGTGACGGGGTGGGCGGGGGCAGTTGGTGGCGCGTGAGCTCCGCTTCCGTTTCCTGTTTCGCGTCGCACCCTCATTGCTGAGAGAGAAACTTCTTCCGCCTACTCCGTGACGTCAACGTGCATAACTCCTCCCCCTTCGACACCCACCCCGCCTACTTATTAGCATAGCTCCGCCCATCTGTGCGCGAGCGCCCACCCACTTATCCCCGTCCTGGCCCCCCCCCCTTTCCCCTCCTCTTCCCGGCGGCGCCGAGGACGACGACGACAAGCGGCGACAATGACTAAGTGCGCCTTGCTCTGTTTACTGCTGGCCGTTGTCGACGTGTCGACCGCGCTGTACTTCCACATCGGCGAGACAGAGAAGAAATGCTTCATCGAGGAGATCCCCGACGAGACCGATGGTTATAGGTGCGCGATTGCCGCCGTCATCCACCGCACTCACTTCTAGACCGCGCGGCCTACGTGTAGGCCTAAGCCTTGACCTCGCCCGGTTGGGATACCGCGATCGGTGCGCTATGGCTCGGCCTGTGGGTTCAGGCGTGCGGCGGGGTCGGCCCGGTGTTCTCGCTGTTCTTCGCCACGCGTTTGTTGACGCGTGGCGGTGGTCGCTTCGTCCTTGGCTCCTTTTGGACGTTTTGTTGAAGCGCTGACTGACGGTGTCCGTGTGAGTGTTGAGGGTCCGTCCAGAGTGTGAAGGCGGAACTTTCGCGTTCGGAATGGCCTTGTACTTGAAATCCATATCGAAGTTGGTGTTTCCCGTGCTGTACACGCGAGTTTAGAAGCTACGGTAATAGCAAACAAACCACTCTAAATTAATGTTTGACCGGATCCCTTTTTGCGCTGTGTTAACGTCACAAAGTCAAATTTCTTGTGAACGAATATTATATCTCCATTTGGACAGCCCAGGCATTAATGTGTACATCTGAAAGATTATGCATTTGTGTTTATTGGTCAGATTTCCTTTAAAGTTGTGCGAATTGTGTTTCGGGTTTGGTGTCGTAGGTATTTAGGAGTTTTATATTGGTCATCGTGGCCAAGTTTTGAAGCCTGGGGCCATGTGTTAGGTTGACGTGTGTTAAATTGGAGGGTGTGTGCGCCGTGTCAAACAAGTTCTGCTCGCGCTAAAACAACCATTTTATGTTCGTATTGCTCCATTCGGACGTCCACACAACCTATGACTTGCCACCAGTCAACTCCGTGCATTACATTATTTTCTGAGAAACCGCACGTATTGCACTGCATTACACGCAAGCATATCGTTTCCATGTAAAAGTTTACGTTCATGCAAAACAAATATGCAAAAATTTGTTTCATAAACATTAGTGCTACTGCGTGTGTATTTTCATCCTGAACGTGGCCATGTACGGCAAAGTTGTACGAAGTTGCAATGACGCTTTGTTTGTTACAACCCAGCTTGGTGAAGCAAACAGTGATGACGTGTAAGGTTCACGGCATCACCGGTACACGTTGCCCTCGCAGAGTTGTAGATATTGGATTCTTGCCTGCCTGTCTGTCACGATGTTTCACGCTTTATTTATACTACGCCACTGCCATCGATGCATTGTACCATTACTATACGTTGATGTCGTCGCATGTAATAATGCCCATGGTCACCGATCGCGAATGCTAAGCAGACGAATTAAGCCTGGATAGTGCTTGGATAGGCGACTACCATGCATGCCAGGTGTCATAGGCGATGAACTTGAGGCTTGCGTGAAGAGCAGCGCAGCAACATACATTGATGTACTTGAATGTTACCTGCCTTAAGCCAGTGCGGTTTGGCTATGTGGTGAAATGTGGTCCCGTAACCTCGCACAGCTTTGGGAGGCCCAAATCCATTGATGGATTTACCAAGGGCTGTGTATACACATGCACGTGTGTAGTTTGAGTCGAGTGTAGTAGTGTTCAATTTACCTTTAACCTCCTCGTAGTGTGTCATACTTTTATTTTGGCAGTGCACATTTATGTTCTATCGGTCATGAAATTATATTGATGGGTTTTTATAAAATATCAAACTTCTTGGACAACTCATTGCTATGTCCATGATATGGAATTATAACTGTCATTAACAATGGTCGTAATTGCAAGCGAAACCTAGCATGTTAATTCTTGCGAGTTTCTGGTGACGCTTAACATAGTACATTTAACAAGTGAGTGCCCATGCTCATTACTAAGGAAAATCTTGCTCGATTTGAACCACATTTTGAAGTCATTCTTGTTCACGCAGACACCTGTTTGAAGAGGGCAGCTGTAAGCGTTCCTATTCGATATTTTCTACTGACGCCCTTGTTCAATAGCACTCTATGCTAAGTGTGTCAGTGATGTGGTGACACTGCTCGCCATATAATTGGTCCCTCTAATGACGTGACAAAAAGGAGGTTGGGTTTTGGGTTAAACGTAAATCCGGTGAGCTGACAAATAAGTGTACTCCGTATGTTTATTCTCCCACGGATTTTTGTTTCACTTGTACTAATACCAGTTGAAAGGAGACCCTTTTTGAAAAAAAGGTGTTAGCGTCTATATGGTACTCAGAATCTTTATTTAGACTGGAGGACTCTGATGAGCTGTGAAGCTCTAGTAGGGGTGGGTCGGTAAGTTACAACAAAAAACTTGCAGTTTACCTTTTATGTTAAAATCAATTACACCGCCATGCATAAAATATCACTCGTGTCAGGGTTGTATCGCAATTATACATGGTGTTGTAACTTAACACCTTCAATAACCCATTGGACATACATTGTATTAGAATGTATGGCTGGCTCCATGAGTAACTGCCAAATATATTTTCATATTTATTTTGACATTGGGATATTATTCATTATCACAGTTATATAGTACTGTATGCATGAGTGGTGATTATAGTTTAGCTTGTTATACAGTATTGTAATTTAGTGTTGGTACAGATGCCTTGTTTGGTGTAGCACTGATAAGTTTGTGTAACAGAATACAAACCACTATTGTGGTGCAAGAGGCTGATACATTACGGAACTCTATTGCAGCTCTTTACATTGCGAAGTGTGTGTACGTTCATTTCCATGTACACATTGCTTTTTATGACACGTGGACATAAATTATAAAACCGTAGCTCTAAGGTAAAAAATGCATGTTCAGAGATATCAATTGTCTTTTTTAAAAGTAGTTTCTTGTACTCCTGTCCTATATTTCTGTGAATTAATGTGCCTCTGTAGAGTTTCTTTGGCAGGGTTTATATATGATTTATATTAATGAGGAAACGGTGTCACATTTGAAAATGCGTTTTGCTAACCTTTCTTTTATTGTGCATACTTATAATGTAAGTGGACTAATTTTTGGCTTTCCTTTCACAGGCAATTACAAGACTCAGCTTTGGGACAAGAACAAACAGGAGTTTCTTCCTTCCACCCCTGGTTTGGGAATGCACGTGGAGGTTAAGGACCCAGATGGAAAGGTATGCCTGCAGAAGAACAAAAAAAGATACATAACTTCATCATCTTGTGCAATTTGTTTAAGTATTATTAAAATATTGTACAACCATATTTTAAATTGATGCGGTGAAGATTTTGATTGTGAAGAGATGGGTGGCTACAAAATTTCCTTGTGGCTGACAGTTAATTTTCTACGTCATCACATCAGAGGTCGCAATCGGGTACCCGATACCCAGCTACCCGTACACTCATTTCCCAACGTCTTGTCTCATCTCACAATTCAAGTTCCTAGAATCAACCCACCCGCGCCTGCAACATGGCTTCATCCCAGAGGTCGCAATCGGGTACCCGATACCCGTACCCTACCCGACCGGGTACGGGTACCTGTTTGCGACCCTGGTGCGGCCGGGTACGGGTAAGGAATCAAAGCCCGTTTGCGACCTCTGCATCACATTCATGTCTCATGCTTGGTATCTAAATTCTGAGCGATGAAGTCTTAACAATTGTGGTAGATTTTGCATTTCTCTTGAGACATGGAATTGACGACCTCTACCTTTCAGGTACTTTGAAAGACTAGAAAACAAGATAATCATCAGCCATGATCGATGCACTGTTAGATGAAGGCTGCCTGAAACCATCACCATCTCCCGTGATTTAACAATCCACTAGGCACCTGTATGATCCAAATGTGTTGCTCTGTCTGTTGGACGGACATCCTTTTTGTAGCATTTCCTCCCGTGGCTATCCATTATCTTTGTCAATGTCCACGTTCATGATCGATATATATTAGTAGGTAGTATGCATTGATTAAAAAGTGTCTTCAAGTACATTTTTATGTTGCTTTTCATTGTGAAGTTTGGCTTTTTAAAAGCACTCCCAACTGGTTCTCATGCGCCTCTTTATTTCATAATTATGCTTTCAGTCCACCCTCCATAACTTTCCTAATAATTCATGTCCTGCTGTGTTTAAAATATTTTTCCACCCACATCTGCAATTGTTTAACCCATTTGTCATGTGACTTTATTTTTAAATATAGTGGCGAATTTTGCGAGGATACTGCCATGGTTGATGGTTGTCATACTGGTTCAATCTCTCAGCATAGCAGTTGCAACAATGTGAACATTTCTTAAACCCCCCTACCCCTGTTCACCCAGCAGTATGAATGGGTACACCACAGTTGATTGGCAGGTCATGTATGGTGGGATAAATTGTGGCTATTCCTACCTCTTCCAAGATGTCTGGTTTGTGTGGAATTGTAGTCCAAAATACCCTCTGACGGGGTTCACTCGTAATCCCCCTTGTGGGAGGTCCTTCTGTCGGCAGTGGAGTGAGCAAGTAATTGCAGGGATATGCCACTATTCAGCAGGCCCTTAAGCAAAGTAAAACATACTCTTTGGTTCTTTTGGTAAAGTGACGTAGTTAGAAATAAAATAAAACAAATCACGACCGCTTGTGTTGCGATCGAAACGTCGTGATTCGTTTTATTTTATTTCTAACTACGTGACTTTACCGAAAGAACCAAAGAGTATGCATTCCTGCAGTCACGAAAACATCAAATCAAGAATCAAAGTAAAACAATAAATAATTATACCCTGAATGAATTTTGTAACAATGTTTTCCTTGCACTCTTATTTCAGTTGTAATGTGATCATATGGTTGGATTCTCACCCCCTTTGCAGGTCATCCTCTCCAAGCAGTACAGCTCAGAGGGCCGCTTTACGTTCACTTCCCACACCCCCGGGGAGCACCAGATCTGCCTCCACTCCAACTCCACCAAGATCGCCCTCTTCGCTGGTGGGCGCTTGGTAAGTAATCGTGGTGTTTCTTTATTGGGGGGTCGTGTCATGAAACGAAGTTTACTATTATATTTTTGTTATTTTACCAGGTAAGGCCCACTGAGCTCTATAGCTCTTTTTCAGAAGCGTCTTGGCCACAAATGATAGCTTATCACGTGGAAATTTACGGCAGCCAAATATTGTGAACGCACGTTAATTCTAAATGTTGAGGGAAAAACCGAAGCACCCGGAGAAAAATCCATAAGACCATGGAGAAAATATGCAGACTCCAAATGTACAGCAGACTTCAGGGTTGGAATCGAACCCACGATCTGTATACCAGGCGAGGTAGTTAGCATCTTGCCACTGCGGTGCCCACAGAGCAGTGTAACCCTTCATGTTAGAGAGTGGCCCATGTGGGAGGATGTCACTAAGCCACCTCTGGAATCCCTTCAAGTGACCTCTGGTACACATTCCCACCCACTCTGCCACTGAAAATAATGTTCACCGTGCGAAAGTCGAACCAATATGTTTAATCCTCAGACCTGAATTTGAACTAAATTAAGTGCCAAACCAAATTTTACGTAACTTTTGTGTTTGCACTTATTGGTAGCCAAGCCTGAGGACATCAACTCACTCACCTTGAACCAGTTTAATCATGAGTGGTCCCTAGAATCCTACCCAGGTTCTTAGCAGTACTTCGTCAGCACTCTGAGGATTGAGCCATCCAACCATCTTTGAGGCATGTTTCCTTGTAAAGTTACTGAGATACTACATTAACTTCCACTACAGATAAAACTGCATTGGTCCAATGGATATACTTGATTCTATCATAGTAATGTAACATTTCCTGCAATTAGAATTCTGTATAGAATATAACAAACCTCCTAAACTATTTGGCAGGAAACCACTTTGACTTTTGACAACTAAAAAGGTAATAATGAAAAATAAGAATCGCTTTTACCACTTCTGGCAATAAAACAGGTGTTAAGATGTTCAAACACCAAATAGATACCTTTTGTAAGGAATCAAGTCCGCATTAACTACACGAACTTGTGGTGAACATGCAAACAAAACATGCTCTCATAATATATCCATTCTCGAGTTGAAGCTTTCGTGACTGCAGGAATCCATACTCTTTGGTTCTTTCGGTAAAGTCATGTAGGTAGAAAATTAATCGATCACGACGTTCATACTGGCAAAAAAGGTCCCATGATAAAAAACGTAATATTATCTTTGCAATTTGAGTTGTGCTATGCTTAATTTTTTATTTCATAGGCAAACATTAACAATTACAATTGAGATTATAAATCATGGAAATGTCACTGCATCTCGATGTACTGCAAATAAGGAAGACATTGTGAGATTGTGAGCAAGTGAAGCACGGAGTTTCTTATAGCGAAGGTGAATGTTACAGAAAACAGTGTGTGGGGGAAGAGTTCCTCAACTGAATACGAAATGTTGATTAGATGGACACCGTTACACGCAGAAAACAGGAAAATCTTAAGCCTGATGGAGTCGGTCATACATGTGGCCAGAAGGAGAGCATTCTAGGCAGTGGGTGCAGTATCAGAGAAAGTGTTTTATCGAGTGTCGGTTTAGGGGTTTTGCCAGAGGGCATTTATTGCTGGAGCTGAGAACATGTGGAGAAGAGGGAGATGAAAGGGGGAGAGAGGTAGGTGAGGGTGAGTTTAAGGGGGGGATCTTGAAGATGGCACTCGGTCGATGAGGGGGGGGACCTTGTAATTTGTGGGATTTGATGAAGTTGAAGGAGGAAACTCATAGCAGCATCCAGGATCACTTGAAAATTGGCGGTTATTTGGGGAGATCATAGAGAGAGTTGCAGTCCTCAACCCATGAGCAGGAAACATCAGATTCTAAAAAAATTAATGTTTAGGATTTGTACATTCTCCTTTTGAATGTTATAAGTTGTTTAATATCAAGTAGAATTTTGAACTTGATGCAAAATGATTGTTATCGAATTCGTCTGAAATTGTTCCTGAGCGACCGCTTCTGTTGCGATCGAAACGTTGTGTTCTATCTACGTGACTTTACCGAAAGAACCATAGAATATGAATGCCTGCAGTCACGGAAGTTTTAAGTCAAAATTGTTCCCGAGTGTTTTTGTAAGTCACGGTCTAGTGATGAGACGCAACACATTTGTGTATAACATTGCCTTAAAATGAAAAATATAAAATCGGTGACATTTTGTGCAATTGGCCATTCAGCACATCATGGGAGGGTTATGAACGAATGTGAGTTTAAAAAAAATATTTTTATGCTTGCCAACTCGGTAACAGTATGGGCAATCTATGTAGCGATGCTCATGTCACATTTTCACCGTGAGGTGGCGCCACGTGACCATGTTTTGCAGACCGTCTATTTAGTCATGCAATCAGAACATAAACCACAAGATGGTGTGAGTCGACCATTACAAAAAATTCAGTTTTTAATGTTATGTTCGGGAAAACTTTGCTCTTGCTAGTGTTTAGCAGAATCAATTTAATGTAAAATACTTGGAAGAAAATATATCAGACAAAATCGGTTGTTTGCATTAAAAAAATGTCATAGGCATACTCTGTTACGTTTTCCCTGCTGAGGTCTAATTTTTAACAGCTTCAAATATTCACGCACATGATTTCAAAATTGTACACATTCGCTCTTATGTTTCATCTACCCTTGTTGTGTTCATGAATGACATTTATATAACAGTGTAAGATTATGTAAAAATATTACACAGCACATTTACAACTATACAACTTGGATAAAATACGTATAGTGTAATGAATGAAAGGGAAAAAAACGATACATGTGTCTTAATTCAAACTCCATGATAGAGGGTTTTGGGTTAGATCGCGTAAATATATAAATGTGTCGTTAAAACCCGCCACCACCAGACACAGCCAACTAGTCAGGGTTGTCACGTAAACAGAACGTGGCCAATTCGTCACTAGTACAGCACACCGGTGTCTTGGAGAGCCAAGCCACAACATTTACAAACTGAGTAATGACGTTTCGCCAGTAATTACAACTAGCTTCATCAGGTGACAGCCAGATTTTTTTTTCGCCTGATGAAGCTAGTTGTAATTACTGGCAAAACGTCGTTACTCAGTTTGTAAATGTTGTGGCTTGGCTCTCCAACACACCAGTGTGCTGTACTAGTGACGAATTGGCATGTTCTGTTTGCGTGACAACCCTTACGAGTTGGCTGTGTCTGGTGGTGGCGGGTTTTAACGACACATTGATATATTTACGAGATTTAACCCAAAAACCTCTTATGGATGATATTGGTCACGAAAGCCTACGTGTTAAACTTAATTCAAACTGTATTTAGGCAATCTGTAACGTATGGGGTAATACGATGCATTGATTCATAGATTAATATAAATTCTTACCCTAAATGGAATCGCATGTGTAAGAAAGTGTTTTTCATTTCAAATGTTGTAAATCATTGGTGGGGCATGAGCATATGATTGCTTACATCCTTATATATTACCTGAAATGGGAAAAACAGTTCATGCTTACATTGTCTCCACCTCGTGAGTAATCATGGAAAATACTTTAGTTAATAACAAACAGTAATGATGTCTTACGATTTTGTAGGTTTTTTTGTGGTTTTCATGTTTGTTTTTGGGTTGTACATTGTTGTTCGGCATGATTAAGCTCACAGCACATGGAGTGAAACGTCGGACATCATGCTGAACAACACGCGGTGCAACCGCAAAACACATCGGAGAGCTTATAGCATGATGTATTTTTCCGTTGAAATGTATTTTCCTTTTGCCTTGATGGGTAAAAAAAAAGATGAAATCTGCTCTGGATGGGATAATAAAGGAAACAATTTTTCAGCTTCGTCCGGACATTTCTGGAGTGTTTTATGTTTTGAATATACATTTTTGGCAGTTTTTTTTACCGTTCATTTTCTAATAAATAAATTGGTTTTGTGTTTAGCAAAGCTCCATTGAAGTAAAAACTTATTTTGATGGGTATATATATTTTTTAAGTGATTCTGGCCGTAGAGTTGGGTGACATTAGTGCAGATGGTGCATAGTCGTTTGTGTTAAACTCTTCAGTGCTACAAAACGCATATATATCCCTTAATGAGTTTTTCTGCCTGGTAGCTGGCACGGAGTAGACCGGAAACCCGCCTGCTTGCGTTCAGCCATTGGCCTCAGTTAATCTCGCCGACTCCATTTTGCAATGACCAAGTCGCTGTAAAGAAAATAAATGTTTAATTGCACTATTGGGATTTACGGTAATGTGCGATGGAGTGGGGAGGAAAAGCAGAAAAGGGGTTTCATACTAAAGGAATTCTGTTCCTTTATAAAACAGAGACTCCTTTCACAAATATGAAAACTTATGCCAAAAAATATTTCTTGTACAAATATTTTACGAGTTAGTTTGGTAGTCTCTTTAGTTTAAGCCTCAACTTATTGCAATACTAAAATGCCGTAACAAAACACGTGGCGTGCTTATTTGTAATTTCTTGATTGACAGTTGTTGAAATTAATTTTTGGAACATTTTTTTATTCCGATTTTGTTTGTATATCTTGGATTTGGTTTTCTGCATTGAATACATAACCAAAAATGAACGATTTGATGATAAGGCACACTTGAAATCACAGTGACAAGCTGTAGATACGTTCCAAAAGAATCACGCAATTTTAATGTTTATGTCCAGGGCAGCGCCTAATGATATATTTTTCATAAGAAACATGCTTAAGCACACAAATGTACAATGGTCTCCAGATGAGCCACGGCTGTCAAAATGTCCACAGCCAAGGGATACGGAAGGGTTGAGACTTGCAGTATTTAAGTTGGCAAGATTGATGATCTTTCTTTCCTCGGCATCGTGACATGCAATTAATTAGACCACCCTTCAGTCGTGGAGGCACATAACTTGGGTCTTTCGGTGAAAACAAACCTTAAAGCACTTGTGGGAGTGTAATTTATGTTGTGGCAGTTTCACAAAAAATATAGATCTGTCTTCCACAGTAACAACACATTTTCTTTTATGCTGCATGTTTAAATGCTGGAGTTAATCCATATCTTGCTATTATAAGGCATATTCATTGATATGCAAGTTAATTTGAATAACTAGGACTATGTTTTTTAAACGTGCTACATTTTTCAGTTCATTGGCAGGTTACTTTTGCAGATACTACAAGGTGGGGAGTTTATCTGATCCAGTATGTGATTCATTGTAGAAAGATAACAACTTGTACATTGAATATTTTTTTGTTATTTGTATCAAATCATATATAGCTGTCTGTACAGATTTTATAAATTAATACCCCCTGTGGATTACCCCCTGTGGATTCTGAAAACATCACAAGAGCAAACATTCATGACCTTGAATCTTGGCAATTCATTGAATAGTGGAGTGGAGGTGGTGATGAATTATATCTCTAATCAAGTAAACACTGCGGTTGTTGATTGAAGTCGACTTGCATCACAGTTGAATGGTGTGTGATTGCGTGTTGGTGTTGCTGTTGTTAATGGTCGTGTTGCCTGCACTGTTACGTGGTTGTCTGCCTGTAGAGAGTACACCTGGATATCCAAGTGGGCGAGCACGCCAACGACTACTCTGAGATTGCGGCCAAGGACAAGTTGACAGAACTGCAGCTCAGGGTGCGGCAGCTGTTGGACCAGGTGGAGCAAATCCAGAAGGAGCAGAATTATCAGCGGGTGAGATTTGCTTAGGCGCCAGTAATAATCATGGCCAGCACCATTATACGTTGTCCATAATTGCAAATATGATTTAAATTTGCACACAAATAGTATTTTGCCAGTCTGTGCCCTTGCAATGTGTTGACCCCTTTGCATGCGATGTAAAGTTGTATCTTTGTGTTTATCGTCAAACTTTAGCACAGTGCAACCGCACCTTAAAGCACATGTACTGTGTATGAGGATAGTTCTATTGATGAAAATTTGCACTTGTGTTGATATTTGTTCGTTATCTTGAACACAAAACTGAGAGTCTGATTCATCTTCCATGCATGCTAAAGTTAAGCTTCATTCCACCCTTGCTTGTTTGTATCTTAACAAATCTTTTTTATATGAAGAATCAATTCCTGGTCACAAGTACTTTAGCTTGTCAAAACTGTGACCAGTGTGGATCTTATTTCATGCCAACAAAAAATTCACTCCGTTTAAACAAAGCACGAATCTGAAGTTATTTTGTGGCACAGTGGGGGGGGGGGGGGGGGGGTGCTTAGTTTGTTCTAAAATGTTAACCTTCGGTCATCTTCACCTATAGTGTTTAATTGATATTAAGCTTACATTTACACTCAGAACCGTTTTTTAAATATTTCACCAGAGTTGACTTTTGCCCAGTTCCTTGGTATTTGTTTTGACACAGGCCACAGAGAACCAGCAGTGGTAAAAAAGTGGTGTGGTGTGCAGCCCAGCTGAGAAAACCAAGAAACACTTCACTATGGGAGCCCTGCTGTGATGGGTTGACAAGTGATTTACTGCATGGAGCCCCGTAATGTATTTTAATGAAGTCGAGCACACAATGCTGCTTCAGTTTTCTCCAAATAATGGACTTGGAATCAAGACACTTTTGCATTTTCTACTTTTTATAGCTAAAAAATTCTATTTGCATCATGAAAACAGTCACATGTTAAGTTTTATTCTCACATGCAATATAAAACAGTAGTTTGCATACATGCAGCACTGTGCAATATGTACATGACATATTTTTCTACAATTAAATTAATTATAATTCTGCTTTATTGGTTGAGAGTATCAAAAAACCCACTAATTTGGCCAAGCACGCCAGTGACTTAGACTCATACGTCATGTTTCTCATTTCACGTCCTTAGAATCTCCACCGAATTTTTGCAGGAGGTAGGATGTGCCCAATGCCCATGGACGTGTTTAGGCCTGCAACGGACACCATTGTTGTGTATGGGCCACCCACGTTGTGGGTTAGCAGATGTGCAAACACACCTGCTTGTGAAATCTGCACACCAGGCCTGTGCAGTGGATTCCATCCGCCAGTGCTCTCACAGCATAACGAGGCTCTTGAGTAATGAAGTTGGGAGTTAGGGAAATGACAAATAAATCAACTTTTGGCTCACGTGCTTAATTCAAAATTATCATATATTACAACCAGGCATGTGTTGCTTTTTTGGCAGAAATCCGTTTCCTGATCCGCTGGGGATGTCCGTGTACGTGCAGTCTCGGTCAAACGTTGCGTTACAGACACAAGATGTCCTCAGAGTCGTAGGCTATCCATTTTCAGCTGTCCATTATGCAATTTTTCTTTTTCAGTTCCATTCACATGGAGGTGATAATGTAATAGATTTGTAAATGTGCAATACATTGGCTTGCCCTTATCCTGGTGTAAAGTGACACAAATGGGCTATAGATCCGTAATTACGCTTTGTGCCAAAACCTAGTGGCATGGAAGTCCTTTTTCAAATGAATGCTTGAACTCGGAATAATTGCCTCCACTTACAGTGTGAAACCGGCTTTTAGCCTTGCCTGGTGCTACAGATGAGTTAATCGTTAAATGACGCTGCCATCGAAATCTTGTTAATGTATGTGGTGTTAAGTGTTGTGCAGGAATTTGTTCAGTTTAATTTCTGCACAATGGCGCGGTCTGGTTTTGTATGTTGCCTGGGCGTTGTCTGTTGTGCGATGTGCTGCTTCCGATTGAAATGCCTGTGAAATCGGATTGGAAAACACTCAGGTGAACAAAGTGTGTTATTTTACTCTACTCCAGAGACAGCAAAGGGTGAGGCATCGTGTCGGCAGAAGCCCATACCCCGCAGACAACATCCAAAGTGTTCTCATCTTTCTTTTTTAATGTTACTTGAAACATTCCAATTCGCCCCACTAGAAGTTTTCTTTCAAAAAAATAACATTGCAACATAGACCATTGTAAATGCGATTCCTAGATTTGTTTCCATCAGTTGTTAGCATTATTTGAAGTGTTTGCAATCGGTATCATTCCTACTATACATTACAACTAGCCAAAGTAATTTTCACAAATCTGCGGTTTTATACTTTGATGTTTTCTTTATGAATAATTTATATGTTATTTATTGAAAACTACTTTTTTTTTCTTGGGGGGTAAGACTTATTGGGGTGAAGCAGTGGTGGGGGGCAGTAGTTTGCACGCACTGCAGCACGAACTGGGCAGCAACCTGAGTTCGATTGCAGGCTGTGGCTAACATCAGGAGCACATGGTGGATGAACTAGTCCTGGCTCCCAACCCCTCACCCCAACCCGTGCTGACCAGTATGGCCAAGCAATGCTCATGATCAAAAGTTGCCTGAAAGCCTTAATCCAGCAGTGGATTGGGTAAGGGCTGTAATTAATTATTCATACTGAAATGGCAACACGCAAATAGTGGTTGTAATTTTTTAACACAGTCCCACATCAAAAATGCTTGTTTTTATTAAGAAATAGTATCTGTAATTGAAATAATATATTTTCGCAATATGCATGGGCAGAACATTCTCCACATCTGTACACAAATCACTCAATCTCTAAGGCTGTGGATTAAGTTAATTCCTGGTGTTCAAATCACGCTGCCACCATTAGACTCGCTGATTTTTATCATGGGTCATAAATATTTTCTTTAGCACTCTCCTCTTTGGCATCTTTGCTCGAATTCTGGACTCCCAGGACACTTTGTCCATGGCATACTTAATAAATTTCCAAAGTTGATGGCACAGTGTACAGCGGTAGGCAGTGAGTGTTCGAGTAGAGGGATTAAAATGTGGTGAAGAACGCGCTGTCCTTGCGCCAGGTCACTTGGAACTCAGTGGAGAGCCCTTGGCGTGCAACACATGAACAGCACAGGGTTGCACTCTGTCAGAGAAGTAGAAATTATTCTAATTTGTTTTTCTTGGCATTTTTGTCTCAACATTGCTGTTTTTTCCAGCTGTTTCTGCAAATAATTTGGAATTACACTGACATTGTTTTGATTTGAAGCGCTATTTATTTAAACTAATTTATTGATTTTTAGATGTAATTATATAATACATTATGAGCGTATAAAAATCTGAGGTTCAAAATATGCATTGCCATAATTACGGTATCCAAATTAGGCTCCTGCCATGCTATTGTGTGTAAAGCTATCACGTTCTTGTTCACGACACCACTTGGACCTTCAAAGCTCATAATTCTGAAACGTAAAACCTTGTTCTAGATTTGAAGCTTTCGTGACTGCAAGGATTCAAATTCTTAGGTGTTTTCGGTAAAGTCACGTAGGTAAAACATTAAAATTAATAAAAATAAAATAAAAAACCACGACGTTTCGGAGGCAGCAAATCTGGCTGTGACGGTCCCACCTGATGACGGAGACTTGTGTTGCCTCCGAAACGTCGTGATTTTTATTTTATTTTACTTTTATTAATGTTAATGTTTTACCTACGTGACTTTACCGAAAACACCTAAGAATATGTAAAACCTTGTATTTGTCTGGTATCGAGAAAATTACGCTCTATGTATCTTGGTGATATCTGTCTGCTTATATGTCTGTCTATAGTTTTTTGGTTAGATTTTATGTCGCTATATCATTATACCTGATGATGATTGCTTGTGTTGCAATCAAAACGTCGTATGCTATTATTTTATTTATTATTTTATCTTTATACGTGACTTTACTGAAAGAACCAAAGAACCTATATAAGCATTGTTGCCCCGGGCTACACCATTTCATTTAGATTTTAAGGAATCTTTACCATTCCGTGGTATTGCACTCCATTTACTCCTGCACCCAAACATCCCCCCCCCCCCCTCCGGACATTCCCCTTGGATCACCGTTACATTTTGAAACCAGAGGATGGTCTGTCCGTCGACTTTCCATATTGACATTAAATTAATATCCTTCATTGAAATATAAGGAGCCTTCGTCCTGGAATATATTCTCAATACTTGTTTTGCTTCTCAGCCGTATATTTTCAAGTCCTTTGCATGCTTAAAGCATTAACTTATGCGTTCCATATTTATAAGATATTGCCTCACAGTACATTTCATAAAGGTGTTGAACAGCTGAAAGACTTCACAAAACGTAGTTAATGTCGAAAATATTTTAACAAGACTATAATATTCGCCTGTGACGATGTCACCCAGATACACCCGATCTCGGCAGGTCTTGAAATCTTGAGATAGTTGAGCCTGGAGAGTGCCTGGATGGGTGACTACTCTGCATAAAAACAGGTGTTGTTCGCTGCTGTGTCACAGGCAGTGCAGCAACATTAATTCTACTCTCCTATACTCTCTGCCTTCACCGACCAGTGCGTAAAGTACTGTCAAACAATTGACCATACTTTGTGCGCATAGAATTAATCTCTTTAAAACATTTTGTTTATGAATGGCAGGTTTGTGTGTATTTATCACTGTTTGCTTGAGGAATAAGGAAGTTTCTCGTCATTAGATTAAAATAGGCAGTGGTCCTGCTGAAGTGCCGCACGTGCTGAAAGGGTTAAACGTGGTTTGTGTGACCTTGACTGATAATGGCGTGGAGAGAGCATGGACTCTGTGCCTGAGCAAACAAGCTTCTGTTCACCAATCCCATTTTGGCACAACAAAAGGTCTTGTTGTAGCAGGCCCCACGCCGGAGATTGGTTTCCGTTTAAAATAACACCATTTAAGGAAGGAAACCTGCCACAAACGGAATAACGAAGTCCAATCCATCATTCGGTGCGAGGCCGGAAATGCATTGCAGAAAAGCAGGGTAAAAAAGAAACCTTCGGGCTGCCAAGTGCGGACAGGATCTCGTAACCCAATGCGGGGGCTACTCGGCCCTTGTTTTGATAAGCTGATTGCGAGCTATAACTCTCAAGGTCTGTTTTGAAAAGGGAGTGTGGCTTATTAAAAAGGCCCCATTGGAAAATGAAAGTCCCCATGTGCTATTTGATAGCAGCAGCTATAGCCCCCCACCCCCCCTTGTCAAGTCTGTCGTCTGAATTGTTCCCGGAGAGAAGCGTATATTGTAAATAGGAATCTCACTTCCACACATTACACTGCTTAGCGATGCGTTATGTCGGTGGAAAAATAATTTCAAATCCTGTTATCAACGTCGATGTTTAATTGACTGTTGTACATTCCTTCCACAAATTGTGAACTTAAGTATAGTCGTACCCCTTTTAGACTCGTGTGAACTGCTTGGAATTACTACGATGGGTGGTAGACTACTAGCTCCTTTTGATCACATGGCTCAGAATGTGTCCGATCTTGTCTGATTTTGGAAGCGAAACAGGATTGGGCCTGAATAGTGCCTGAATAGTGCTTGGATAGGTCCTCACCATGCACAGTGGGTTGTTAAGGGATGGTGGGCTACATGGTGGTCTGTAGTGCCCTCATATTTGCTCCCTTGTTACTGACCTTCGTGATGAAATTTGGTCAAATCAACTCCACGGTCAACATTGTGGGCAGACCTTCATCCAGCAGTGGATTAACAAAGAGCTATACATCTATATAGACTAGCCACAATGCTATGGTATTTAAAAAATACAGAACGTGAAGCTTGCAGTTTCATTTCACATTTAAAGTGTGTGGAAATGTGCATGTTTAAAAGTTTTGCCTTGTGTTAAAACTCCGATATGTATTGTCCTGTAATTTGACTTTAACTGTTGTGTCCAAATTGTGTTTGTCCCTTTTCAACAGTATCGGGAGGAGCGCTTCCGACAGACGAGCGAGAGCACAAACCAGCGCGTTCTGTGGTGGTCCATTGCCCAAACACTCATCCTCATTACTACCGGCATCTGGCAGATGAGGCACCTCAAGAGCTTTTTTGAGGCGAAAAAGTTAGTATAGGGATGGAGGGGCCTCTTGCCTAATGCACTCTGGGTTCGGGTGCTGATTCAACTCTCCCCTCCCGCGACCTCTCCTCCAGTAGTAGGGATGCCACAACTTTTGATTTTGCTGCACCGCCCTGTAACTGTGCTTTATTTAATGATGGGTTAAATTGTGATTGTTTTTTTTCTTTCTTTCTTCCCCCCCTAATTAATGTGTGTATGTTGGTCAAAATCGCCTCCATTAAAATGCTGTCTCATCTCAATCAATGAACATCGTGAGATGCTCTGTGGGGGTAGTAATAAGTACTGTTGCCTGTGTCAATGCAGAATACCTCCCAGGCAATGCCAATGCAAAGTGGGTTGTTTATTGGTTTTTGTATTATTGTATGCAGAATTGATGTAGGATATACAGTACCCTATTAAAACTATTATTAGCATTTGGTGTATGAATATGTTGATTTTCAAGCGAGGTTTAGGTCAACATGCATTACATATTGGTCTCATGAAGTGGAATGGAAATTGTCATTATGAACATTGTTATGGCATACCTACTAAGTAATTGGAGAATAATTTATCGGAACATAAACCCTTTGAGTGCAGGTTACAAGGCAGTTGAACTGGGACATTTATTTTGAGGATTAAACTACGTAATTGCAAGCATACCTTCACCCCTCAATTACATTTCTTCCAGAAGCATTTGTATGCTAGGATTCTCTACTTTTTTTTACTTGTGCAACAGTCATTTAATGACAATCTCCACATTTGTCATTTCAACAGCCTTGACATGGACATTTCCATAATATATTTAAAACCAACTCGCCAAGAAGCCATGGATACAAAAGCATTAGCTGGTAATACAGAAGAAACGTTTATAAAAGGGTAGCAATACCCTATTTGGAGAGACACTGTTATCATGTTTATTTTTCAAGAGAGAGGTGGGTAAGTGACTTGTCAAATAAATAATTTAACATTTGGTGTTCATTTTCCTTCTGTTGGCATTGATAATAAATAAGCAGGGAGCAGTGTTTTTCCAAATCGGGCATGTTGATCACTTTATGAACAACAGTCACTCATGTTGGACAACGTCGGCTTGTGGAACCTTGTCTTCTGGAAGAATATTCTGGGCTCTGGACAACTCAATAGCATCCTATGCACACACATGTTAGTCATGCTGCCGCCACAGCACCTTTATAAATGAGCACTGGTTGTACCGATTATGGATTAACAAATTTAAGTGGAATATATCATATTGACACAAACCTGTTGACTTCAAATTACAGCATATGTGTGACATGCATTACACTGTCTGTGTCAGTTTTGATGTGCCACGTTTTCTGAAACGAACCTTGTAACCTGAGTTCACAACAATGCTATTTTACATATGCTTGTGCTGGTGGTGTGAACGAGCGAGTGGCTGGAACAGTATATTTGTATTTTGTTTCTGGGTGGTTTTATTCTTCGGCATTTTAGGGCTGCATTTGAAAATGTCTATACTGTATATCCCCAACTGGTTGTTAAGAGTAGTGGACTGAACTTGGCATTCCTAAGGAAAAAAACAAAATTTTCAATTTTTAGTTAGTTACTCTTTTGTGATGCAGAATTAAGGAACAGAACAGATTTGACAAATTTGGAGAAAAAACCTGAAATTACTTGATTGGTAAAACAGCAATTGTGTCGTCCCAACTGCAAAAACCTAGCTGGAGCCTTCTAAAATATATTGAATATTGATAATGCTTTCTTGGGTTAAAAAACACGTTTTAATATATACCGATTCAGCTACGTACTTTTATCATCCATTCAACACACCATCAGAAGAGCTGCATTATGGGAGTTAGTTGGCTGACACGTATATTATTTCTAATTTGGCCTAACTGCTGCAGTTTTGTTTATTCCCTAGATTTGAGAGTTGTATCACTGTTCTTAAAGTTGGGGTGGTAAATGTATAGCTGCTTTTGAAGTATGTTTTTTTAGTGCGTGTGATTAGTTGTGGAAATCCTCAGATGAGTTCCGTTCCTTGCATTTTCCACCAGTATGTTGTAATATATTTAAGGAAAAAAAGTTGCATATTTCTCTGCTTAGATAATTTTGACACTTAAAAAAAAAACAAGCGACTCATGAGCTAAATTTTGCTTTACCTTTTCTGAAAGTTTGTTTTCTTACAGTTAATTTTGGCAAAAAAAATATTATTTTTGAACATTGGCAACACTGGAAGCTTGCACTTCTCGCAAGCCTCAACACTGTTAATGCTCAATGTGTGTTCGCAAATTGTGATGAATACACAACGCGATGCATAACATTGTGAAAGTCAGAAGAAACACGTACTTCGGAGGATTTCGGTCCATCGGTGAGTGCACAAACAACAGTGAATTCTTACCTACAACACTCTTTCGTGACTAAATTTGAAAGATCAAGAAACAAATAAACCACCCTGGAAGTGCAAGCAACTTGTTAATTTTAGCTAATTCAAGTCGTCAAACGTTTTTCCAGCTTGTTCTGACGCGTGAATGGGGAGGTCCATTTGGGAATACACAATGTTTTGTAAGTTTATGGAAATAAAGGTAAGGGTTCTCTGGCGTCTGCCTTGTGTGTTTGTTTTGTAAAGGCATTTGCATCCTTTTATGTTTTTGAAAGCAAATGCTCTTTTGAAAAGTGTAGGTGTAAAATAAAATAGACTTTGAAGCTATTGTGAATCTACTCTTGTGAAAAGGCTTCAACTATTGCCGTTTCTGTCATTGAGATTGGTTGGGGGGGGGGACCACACTTCATGTTAGCCAGCGTTGATTAGTAAAGGAGTGGAGGGGATTCAGGACCGGTTTAGAAATCACTCGCCAGGGATGTTTGCCGTAACTGGGAATTTATCTTAGGTTACGAGGTTTATAGCGCAGTTTGCCAACTGCTCTACAACTGCTCCCCAAGCATGGATCGTGTCAGCATAACTGAATCGTGCAGTCAAGTTTTTATTTATTTCGGATGGGTAATGGGCTGCAACTTTTGAGTTTATTGAATGTGTTAACAGATCCCATTTAGCCAGTTGCCTGACTTTTACAAGGGAGATCCGTTGTCCAACTTAACCTCCTACATTGAAATCCGTTTCTGTTGGTGTACATTTTTGTGATATTTCCCTTTTGGCAACGAGGTATTTGTGGGAATATAATGTTCAACTCTGAACTGGTTTAGTATTGAGTGCTCTCACCGCTATGTTACCCGGCCACCTGACGTTTCAGCAGCCGTCACTAGCCAAATTGTTTGCATTGAGAAAAAAAGACTGAAATAATATTTGAGCAGCGCTCCACAATGCTCACTTGACGAATGACACAGCAATTCAGCATTGCTGAACCGATGAATGATGCCGCTGCAATGAACATTACCACTCGGTACTTTGTTAACTGCAGCACCTCAATATTGGCAACCCACACTACTGACCCACGTGGTGAAGTATGGTCAAATAACCCATATGACCCACAGCAAAGGAAGACTCCTCGCAGTGGGTTGAATAAAGGGGCTATAAATGCACATCAAATTAAACTCCTTCCGTGCTACTTGTTGCTTCAAAAAAAAATCAGCATGTCAGTACAGCACATGCAATTATTTGATACATGCTTATAATTTTATATGAAAATGTACATGTTATAAGCTTTGTACGGTCTAATTACAGCCATCAAAGGTCATAACGCTTTAAATGTTCGTTTTCTGCAACTGCGCCGAGTTTGTAAGTGACACTTGAAGCCAGCTGCCATGCTTTCGCTGGCCAGTGGCAGACGTGGAATTAATTGGATGTCATTTGATGTTGGCGGAACCATAATAATGTTAAGTTTATTGTACAAGCAGAATTTCAAAGCGATGTTTAAAAGAGAACCTCCATTAAAGTCCCGGAAACCTAATATTTGCCTGAAAGGGAACATTTCTCTGCAAGTCTTTTTAGAGGTCAGTAATACAATGATAGGTGCAAGGTTTTCTGAGGATTAAGCGTTTCGATTGTTAGTTGAAATTTCTGCAATAACATTCGATCACATTAGCGTGCGTGTGTGTATGTGTCTTTAAGAGGCTGTGCCCTTCTCCCGCTGCTTCTATCCGATCCTTAAGCGCCGCTGGAGAAAACGTGGGAATGTTTTGCATTAGTGCGGTGGACAGATATAGGACACAGCGTCGCCGAGCTCCGTTTCATTAGGAGAATTTGTTGAATGAATTTGTTAACACGACGCCGCTGCCACGGCTAAGCCAGTTCTCACAATGCGCAGCACTTACGTTGGCAACTCTTTGCAAAAGGGGTAAAGTGCTGAGTCTGCCCCTCCAAAAAAAACCCAACCCCATACCCATGCTGTAAGAGGAGCATGGGGCTAAAGCAGCGAACGCTTAAGAAAAGGCTCCCCTTTTCCCGAGCCAGCTTCGATTCTTTAAACAGGGTGCTGGCTTGTTCATTTTCAGCTATTGTTAAACGAGACGTGCTGGCCATGCAACGTGATCTCTTGTAGGAGTTTTACTGCAAAGGAGGCGATATGAGCCCTGAGAAACTATCCCATCCTGTGCCTATTATGGCACTGGATTTTTCGACGCGAGATAAACAGAATTCCCGGGATTGAAAAATAACACATGCAGCCGCACTGCCGTGAAACAAATATCTCTCTCTCTCTCTGCCCTTTGATAAAGCACTGGGAGGCCACAGACCACCAATGTGGCTTAACACAAATGTTACAAAAAAAAACCCCTTTGAATTCAATAATTAACAACCAGCTGAATACACTCCTTTTTTTTACTACGGTTCATTCGCCCCAGCCTGAAAAAAAAAACTTACAATACAACAGGTTAAAAAAACACCAGAAAAAAACTACGACGATTTGCTGAAAACTGCCGTGTAAAACACCAATATACGGCGAGAGAAAATCTTTAAATGAATAGGCACGCACACTTTAGGGATCTTGTAAGCATGGGATTTAAGTACCGAAGCGCGCCCGTGTCTGTGGGCACGTTTCATTAGGCTCTGTGACATTGTGTCGATTGTAAATATTACAATAATGTGGACCCAAGCTTCAACGCCAAAGATTCACAGCGCTCAAAAAATATGGGCTGTGAAATGAGATTTACTCGACTCTTGAGTGTGGGTTGACTGGTCCTGCGGCTGGCTTAAATTTGCTGTAATGGAATTCCCGGCTGTAATGTAATTTTACGTCCGGAGGACTCCACAGGTGTGAGGAATGTATACCTTCAGCATGTGGTTAAATTCAATTTGGACATTCACACTTCATGTGATCCGCTTATTATATAGCTAAACACAAGGAGTGTGTGGGAATTGACTTTTAGACTTTCTTGCCTTGGCAGTGAGAGAAGGCGTGGATGACCGTATAACGTTCAATAATATTACAAATTCCTGCCTATTTGTGGTAACTAGAAGCAGACTCGGAGAAGTGCAAGGAAAACATGTCCACATACCTTAAAAAATATACAAAGAATTATCCATTTGTGAATCCACTGCTGAATGAAGTCCTCACGATGCCGTATTGGAGACGGGGGTTCTTTGACCATTTATCATGTTGGTCAGTGCGGGTTGCTGGGCGAAGCAGCGTGTTCAGGACTAGTTCAGATATCACTTGCCACTGATCTTAGCTCTGGCTGGGAATTTAACTCAGGTCTCTGGGTTCATGGCGCAGTGTCCACTGCGACATCACTCCACACTTTTAAAATAAACAACAAACCAAAAATGTATTTTTTCCTCTCTTTAAATTGAATCAATTGACGTGTCAATGAAAGCAGTTTCAACCGTTCAAGTCCGTGAGATTGAGTGGCATTAGAATGTCTACCGACATGGACACTTTCTCAAAGACAATACACTCGGATTGTTGTCCTGGAAAGACCTGATAACCCACAAGGTTCAACGATCAGAAACCAGAGTTTTATTGTTAGGCAGAGTAAGTAAATAGAGTGAGTGATTTTGTTTTCTTAGAACAACACCACCTTTACATCACCGGCGTTGCATCTTCTACTAGAATTTAATAACATGATTTCAGAGTGAGAGGAACATTACGTTCACTGTGTGAACATCAGTGGGGCGGCAAATGATAAAATATGAATAATGAAAATTAGACCACGTGTTTCAATTAGGTTATCATGGTTACCAGAACAGTTACATGTGGTTTTATCAGGACACCCCTTCAATTGTTCAATCAATCATGCACTCGATGTGCAAGTTAATTTACACAATCACAAATTAAGCTCTAAACAGGTGCAAGGAGACTATTCAAGTTAACGACAGCTATGCAGGGGGTCCATGTGCACTACCCACAATCCCTTTCTACAAACTACATTCCAGTCCAGTTGGCAACACTGCACTTTATACAACCTGTACCAACAGAGAGATTTCCGTATATCGCCGTCCTCCTTTGACTATGCCATGGCAAAACTACAGAGAAATGGCAGCAGCTGCATGAGCTGTCTGGCGTGTGCCGTTATTGAACGTTTGTTTAGATATTTCGTTACAAGGTTTCAACAACAACACAGAAATTGCAGTCCATTTGCGAAGGAGGTTGGCGGGCAGAAGCACTCAAGGTCACCATCTTCATCCTCTCTCCGCAGCGGCCTTGGCATTTGGGTGCAGGTTCGAGTTGCAATTTCTGTCTGTCTCGCTCAGTGTGTGTATATGTATACACGTGCACAGGGCTCTCCATTTATAGATACCCCACTGATCGGCAATAGCCCTCTTTCCTCTCAACACTTTGTCCAACATAGACCGTCTATGTTGGACTAAGTGTAGCAGGTGATTGTTACATTATTTAACAAGTGCGTTGAGATTGGTGGGGGGGGGGGGGGGCATGGGTCATGGAGAGGCTTTGAAAAAAAAAAAACCTCTCGTATGGCTGATATTGATTCAAAAAGCAACAAATGCAATTTCACATTCAGGTGGTCGAGTCAGATAACCTGCCTCAACCATTAGAACCTCAATTTCCAGTAACAAAATATGATGATTGTTTTTTGGTGTAAATGCTTACCCCGAGCTCTCATACTCTGATGGTTCATTGTCCTTGAGTTGTGCGCCTTTTGGCGTAATCTGGTCCAACACCACGTGAGACTAGGCTCTAAAGAAAGCTGTCTCGGGTGTGGACCAATCAATTTCAAGGACAGTGCATACATTATCAGAGTTGTGTTTTTTGTTTGCATTCCGACTGCAGGTATTGTGGTCAATGCAAACATGACTCCTTGTAAAAAAAAGGTGTCAGTTTTGTTGCCAGATAAAAGGGTAAAAAACCAATTATCAACCTGTCTCTAATTTTGCGCGTGTTGGAGTAAATTGTGAGTGCGCTCCCCGGCCTCTCCCAAGACGTCTGCCCAGCGTGAAATCGGAGGCCAAATATTCTCCAGAGGGCCTCTCTAGAACTCCCTTTAACGGAGGCCCTTCCACCAGCAGTGACATAAGCAATACATTCCAGGACCGCATTTTTACCTTTATAACTGCTTTTTTGTTTAGTTTGTTGTCCTTCCCCCGCACCTCCGATCAGCATGGTTGGCTACGTAGGGTGCGAAAGAAGTTCAACCTACATAGCTATTTTAGTGGGGTATGTATCGATGGATCACACCCGCGATG